TTTATGCTACTTGATAACATTTGTATGGTCTCTAGCCAGTACAACTTGCTAGAACATTCTGTTACACAGAAGTTGTCTGCCGTCACCCTGCAGCTGTGGCAGCATTTTGTTCCCTGTTGGAATATGTAGGGAACAGTAGCTCTGTGGTAATGGCAGAGGCAATGCACAAGGTTCAGTTGACTTGTCAGTGTCCAGTTGCTGACTTTCCACCATTCAAATGTGCCTGATTTTCAAGTGGGCACTGCAGACTGACAGCACAAACAAGAGCTCAGTGAACTGTGTTAACAGAAGTGGTCTGGAGATCACAGAGCTTTTTGAAAGGTTAGTGCTTTTGGTTCTCAACATGGTTTTGGGTTTTCTTGTCTGTTTTCTTTAAATCCCTTAGAAAACAAAAGCTACACGTCAATAAGAACAGAAGCTTTGTCTGTGATTCAACTGCTGCTCACCAAACTACAAGGTGAGACTTATTACTTGCCACCTAGAAAAGCCACTGCTTGGTAAAGATGGCTGCTGGCTGTTTGGCCTATGGAGAGATGGCCTTACCTCCTGCTTGCAGCACTGGGCGATTCTGGGGAAACTGGGACTTGGAAGCAGGAGAGGCCTTGAAGTAACTGAGGCTAATGCCAAGTTCTAAAGTACTGTTGGATATTCCTTTGGTGAGGAAAATGGTCAGCAAGGAGGGTCCCACATGGAGCTCACAGAACCGTCTCATCAGATCTGTGTTATGTTCAAGCTCCGTAGAGGGGGGAGCTCCTCTTAGTACGGAAGAGTGATTTTTACCTTTTCAGTGTCAAGTTTGGTTTCTTATTATTATTTAGTACTCAAGCCTTGCAGAATTGACTTCATAGCATGAGGTCTTCCTAAGTCTCAGGTTCATATGTGTCTGCAGTTGTTGTAGCAATTTTTTCCTTTGGGTTTCTGTTACGCATTTTGTGTTTCTTTTATTCTGGCAAAAATCTTACATGCTTCTTTCATGAGCCAGTTGCAACACAGGAAACATGTGGTTCTTCAGGCCCTCATGTTCACATGTTACAAGCTTAGACAATGACACCTGGTCTAGAGGTACAACTCCCTGGCAGGAGGCAGCACACACATGAGTGTCTAGGTGAATCTGAGTTCTTCTGGAAGCACAGTGTGGAATGTGAGTGAAAGGTTGAAGCAGTCACTCCTTTAGCCTGTCTGAGGAAAGCAATGTCCTTTTGGAATTTTTTTGTTTTGTTTTTTGGTGTTCATGTCCAATGTCTATCTGTCTTTATCTGCACAGAAGCTCAACAGTGGGAAAGCCTGACACGAGAAAACAGAGAGCACCTCATTCGTTCGCTGTCTACGATGGCATCAGATAGCAGACCTGAGCTACAAGAGAGGGCATTTGTGTTGAAGAAAACACTCGAGAATCTTGATTAAGTTGTAAAACATAAATTTCAAAGTGCCATGTAAAACAAAAACAAAAAGTGCAGTGATCTGAAAACCAAGTGGGGAAATGAAGATTACTCTGTAGGATGCATCATTCCTGGCCAAAATAAAAAAATGCCTTAAATTCTTTTCCCCATTAATGTTATTTTTACTCTTAAGCTGATTGTTAGTTGTTTTATCAGCAAATACCTCTATCTGCCCAAGAGTGTTTTTAAGTGTACAACATAAAAACACAAGAGAGCAAGATGCTTTTCTTTTTTTAAATCGGCAGAAGAATGTTACTCAGACCCCCTTTGTCCTTCCAAAAAACTGCTGAAAATCCACCAGCACAGAAAGTGAAAAGCATATTTAGTTTTCACATTTTTTGTATGTAGAGAACTGTTAATTTGTGTCTACTCCAGTAGTGCTGGTGTTTATCTGTAGAGAACAAATAGTTTTCCCTTGATGAGGTCTGTGTTCGACTCCTGTGGCTTCCCAGGAGCAGGGTTTTATCTGACACCCAGCTCTGCTTCTGCTTGCTCCTCCCTTCCAGCCTGTTGTCTGTGCATTATGAAAGGCAGAGTACTGTTAACGACACTCCTTCCTCCTTCTCTGACCTCAGCATGGATTGACTGAGACTATGCCTTCCTCAGATGGCAAACAGCCTCCCAAACTTTAAATGAGAACTTTTTCCCCCGAAGGATGCACAAGAGAGCACTTTACTGAGCTGTGTGGGACAAAGTTGAGCCTAGTTAGTACCCAGGTGGAACACTGCTCTTCTCAAAATTGTTTTGCATGGACACTCCTTAGCTCCAGGAAATTAAAAAAAAACAAACAAAAAACAACCAATCTTTTTTAGATATGTTTTGGAAGAGCATTTGAAGTTTGAAATTAAACATTTTTTTAATAGTGGTAATGTTTTATTCCCTTCCTGTTCGTAAACCTGTTCTTGCTTTGGAAACCTGTAACAATTTAGACTTGTCAATATTTGTAAGAAACTGAATCATCTGTCATTTATCAGAGCCCAAGTCATGCTGGTTTCTAGCAATTTGCACTTACAAAGATTATATCTGCATTAACGTGGGAGTAAAATTGCTATATGGTGATGTGGCCCTGCTGCCTGTCTCCCTTTTCTTTTTCCCCTCCTCTGACAAAAGACAAATCTGACCACTATAGCAACAAACTGTAATAGTGTGAAGATAGCACGGCTCCATAATCTGACCAGTATGTGTACAACTTTTTGGGGATAAATGCTTTGCTGATGGTGAAATTAAATCATTAGTGTGGGCAATATCATGTTCATGGCTTTCAGCACTGAAAGGCTTATTTTCTTGCAGTCTGCAGCTTCTTTCAGATCTGCTCTGCTAAGGAGAGGATTGCTCAGATGACATAATGTTTCCTTCATGCCCATTTATTCAGATTCAGGTATGCAGTACCTACTTTCCCCTCAGGTGCCATTCCCCAGCCAGTGTTTCCTGGTACTGTAACAGTCTTGTTGTCTGACTTGCTCTCCATAGGGAAGAATGTAATTTGTGCACATCTGGTAAGGGAGTGTCGGTAAGAAATGGGCAGAGCTGTGTCCCACTGTGGCTCTTGTGTAGCAGAAACCTCAGCGAGCACTATTGCATTGTACATTAGAACTGGTCAGTGGGCAACTCCTTGGTGCTGGGAGCTGGTGCTATAATGTTTTGATTTACACCTTGTTGCAGGGAGCTGCTTTTTGTTTACGTGTAGTTTGAACTGTTGAGCACAGTGTACATTTTAAAATTTTACTGGGCAAATCATTTTGCAGTATCTTTAAAAACTTGCTTACCGTGACATGTCATGAGTGCTCTTTTTTTTTGTATTAGGTGAATATTACCGGTGATGCTTTGCTGTAGCGGTTCATTGTCTGACTTGGGTTTTTTCATATTGGTGAGTGACAGTAACAGAAAAGCAAGAGCCTCCGTGTCTCTGGTAATTTGAGCTTTCACTGTGGACGGGAGTATTCAGAGGCAATGCCTCGTATGGTCAAATGACTGTACGTAGAGTAACTGTAACCATTGTCAATAGCAACCTGAATTTCTCTATTGGGGATTTACACTAGAGGGAAGAGCGTATTCTAGGAACTCTATATGTAAACAGCTGGATTAACAACTCTGGCCAAGAGTGTTGGGAAGGTTAGAGACGGTGTGACACTTTCTGAATCACAAAGCAATATGTCTTTCTCGTGATTACAGAGCAGATTCAGAGCTCCTCTCTAAAGCATGTGCCTATACACAAAACCTACCTGTACAAAAGTTAATTAAGTCAGAGGTTTGATTTCTATCCCCCTCGCATTTGTAAACTTGATAGGATTAAAAAAAAATAGATGTGGCCTTCCTAGAGTTTCTCCTCTAAAAGTGATTGCACTATGTAAAACACACTGTACTTTGCCCAGCACGGGCATTTCTTGTGCTGCTGCGATGCTTTGTATACCTGGAGTGCAGTGCGCAGACTCGACTCTAGCACTCTCGCTCTGACTTACAAGCTGTTGCTTAAATGGATGTATATTGAGAAAAGTTTTCTAATGTTGCAAGATCTCCATCAAATTTACTGCAATCTGTACTGTCCAAATATGTGAATGATCTGACTGAAAGAAAACCCTCCTGCTTACCAAAAAGGTAAAAACTAAATAAAAGCTGCATGACCTGTTCCTTGGAGTAGTGATTTTTCTTCTGTGGTGGGTATTTTATAGTGTTCCTGTGCTTCAGATTCAGAGTGGGCTGCTGTTGTGCTCCATGCTGCTGCCCTCGCCTCATGGAGACAGACGGCTCTGCAGCCCTGGAAGAAACTGTGTGTTTTTTAACCCATTGCTTGGTCTTCTGCAGCCAGGCAGGGTTAGATTACACAGACACATTCTTTGTTATATATACAGTCTTGTATATATTACATATATATGGTAGATGAGGCCATGAGATTGAAAACTTACTAAAAATATATTGAAGAACTTAAGTATTTCCAAATTATTCCAGACATGCACACATTTTCCCTCCCAGTGCATCCTCAATTATATGTACTTTTCTAACCAGTATTCAGAAAGGAAGAAAAAGGAGGGGACACAAATGAGAACAGCACACAAACACAAACCTCACTGATGCTGGCCACCAAGTGGCTGAACCATAACCTAGCAAGGGAAATGTGGTCAGACCATATACCCACCATGCACAGACCATGGTGGGTTTTGCTGTGGTGAGCAGAGACCTCCTCTGCAGTGCTGTGATAAAGCTGGTTTGGGCTCAGCCTGACTGACATGTCTGGCCAGTGAAAGCTGCAGGATACAATCATCAGGTAAGTTAAAAATTGAGAAACTGTTCAGTGAAAAACTTTGATGAAGGAAAGCACACACAGCCGCGTTTGTGTAGTTACATTTAGTAAAAAAAGGTTAAAAATTGTAAAAATATCTTGGGAGTTAGTTGTTGATTGCTTTGCTCCTTAAATAATTACATACCAACAAAAATTGGTATGACACTTTTCTCTGGAATTTGACAACAGGTGAGGAAGACTGTTACTACACTTTGAAACAGGTCTTCCGAGTGCTGTAGAACACAGGTAGCTGAATCAGCTTTTCCCCATATAAAAGCTTTAACTACTGCTTCTATACATTTATTTGTATATATTACAAAGGAATGACAGGAATTACAAAGGAATGAAGGGAAGCAGGACAAAAATTGTCTAGCTTACTTAATAGAACAGACTGTTACAGACTTATTTCCTATGCACTTCAGATCTTCAAAAGCTTCAGGTATGAACTAACAGCTAAAACTTTTTCTAATTAGGAAAAAAATTTGAAACTTAAAAAGGGAACACTTAAGGTGCTACTACACATCGATGACCCCTACTTCGCGGGGTCTTTCTTCCCAACTTTCTATGTTGTTTATCTCCTTCAATATTCTACATGTTTTCTCAGCTTTATTGGGAGCAGACTCATTTTTTCTGTTTTTAATCTGACTGTATCTTGCAATAGTGGATACGCCATCCACAAACCTGGTCTTGTAGAGGACATTTGCATTGTTGAACATTCCATCCTTCAAGGACACCACAATAAACTAAAACAAACCAGAAACATGTAATAAATGTTGCTATCCAAACAACACCAGAAAAGGCTTCCAAAGAGATGACTCTTTTTTCCTTCATTTGGCTAATACCTCAGTAATATTCTTAAAAAAGTATTCTGAAACTAACCAAGGCCCAAGAGAATGTGTCACACAGTCAATGTACACCCACTATTTGTGCAGTTAATGACAGTTCTGTCCATATCCCAGCACCTGGCCTGGGATACACAGTCCACAATACAGGATGCCTGTTCATGGTGGAAGAAAACAGAAAAAACTGTGCCACTAATTATGAAAGAATGTAGGATCTTACCTAGTCAAAAGATACTACTCAAATAATTTTGCAACACTGGTAACAAATGTTCTCCCTCATTCATAATTTGGAATGGTCAAGTCCTTAATAGAGATGTGTACTGCCTTTTTTTTTCATTACAAGGTCACAGTGATACAGAGATCCTTTTGAGTAGTGCGTGACTTATTTCAAGAGGGTCAACATGAAATACCTTAAACCTCCAGTTAAAAAGAATTCAGGATCTTGTCTGAAACTAAGTGTATCAGAGATACTCCTCCATCTTGCTCCATTTTAACCAACAGCAGCAACAGCAGCAACAACATTCAAGTTTCGCCACTGCCATGTAAGTCTAGCTTCCACCTGAAATAACTCATATATATTATAACACACATCCCTAGAATAAAAGAGGTAAACAACTCAGAGTCCTCAGTGCCAGACTGCCTTTGGAAATAATGGATGGAACTCTGAGCAATCTGGCCTGGTAGAAGGTGTCCCTGCCCATGGCAGGGGATTGGTATAGATGATCTTTGAGGCCCCTTCCAACCCAAACCATTCTATTACAATAATTTCAAAATCATACCTGGGAGTGTCTGAAATGGGTTTGAAGCATCTGCCCTATATTCTGGGTATGAGAGAGATCAAGGGCTGCATCCACTTCATCCAAGATGTAAACAGGGGCAGGCCTGAAGAGGAGCATGGCTAATATCAAGGATAAGGCCACCAGTGATCTGGTACGGAGACAAGAAAATTATGATTTAATTTCATCTGAAAGGCTATGGCTTTCAAAAACAATTGTTGAAAAGCAATAAAGGTGATAAAGGGTCTGGATGACAAGTCTTGATGAAGAGCAGGTGCTGGAGTTGTTTAGCCTGGAGGGAAAGGGGCCCAGGAGGGACCTTACTGCTTTCTACAGCTACCAGAAAAGAGGATGGAGCCAGGTGGGGGTTGGCCTCTTCTCCCATGTAACGAGATAGGCCAAGAGGAAATGCCCTCAAGTTACATCAGGGTAGGTTTAGATTGGATATTAGGAAAAATTTCTTCACTGAAATGGTTATCAAGCATTGGAATGGGTTGCCCATAGAATTGGTTGAGTCAGCACTCGTGGAGAGATTTAGAAGACATGTAGATGTGGGGCTTAGTGACATGGTTTAGTGGTGGACTTGGCAGTTAACGGTTGGACTTGATGAGCTTGAGAGTTTTTCCAGCCTAAATGATTCTATGATTCTAAAATGGTCCCTCAAAACCACATTACTGCTATGGCTCTGAAGAGATGGAATGATAATTTTCCATTGCAAAATGTGAAGTCTTCTGTCAAACAGAAAATATTACTTCTTATTTAAAGATCACGTTAGCTGGGTGATGCTATTTAAAATTATGCTGTTGTTCTAATTCCAGTTTTGAGTTTTGCAATGTTTTTCCACACCTGGTTCTTCCAAGTATTCTGTCCTTAGAAAGTTCTGTATCTCTCTCACCTCTCCCCAAATTCTGTTTCTGCTTTTCAGTTTGTTAATATTTTTTTCCTTAAAAGTTGCAAAGAAGTACATACCCTACTTGGTAGCCATAGACACTGGAGAAGAAAACTGTTGCCCTGACACTACTTTTATGCCAGGGAAATACTCGCCTACATAGATTTTTGTGGCTACAACTCAAGGAGAGGAGTGTTTAATTCAACATTATATTAGTTCTACCTAGAGTTAAATGTAGTTTTCTCACCATTCAGTTTTTTTTTTTTGTCATTTATGTGTGACAGGAGTAAAATCATGATTGTTATCTTACACTAAGCAAAGCATTGTTCTAAGTCCGAATGTATTAATAGTGCTTCCAATATTGAGTCCATCTAGAAAGAGGCAGAGTTCCCTGACAAGGAAAATATTAGTTTTTTGCTTTTCAGAACTTGAATTAATTAGACATAACATTACATACACAATGACAATGGAAAACAAATTAATTCACCAACCTTTGTCCTCCACTAAGTTCTGTTAAGTTTTCCTTCCAGGTGTTTCCTAAGGCTACTCTGAACTCCATACCAACAAAGACATTTTGAGTTTTAGAGGCTGCTAGCATAGCTCTGGCTCCAGGTAGGAGTGTTGAGAAAATGGAACCAAAGTCTTCATTCACCTGGAAGTCAGACCACAAAAGATGTATGAACATGCTTTGGATAAAAAGCACAGAGTGAAAAACTTAGTGGTGAGCAGCACAACAATCAAGACATCTTTCCCAGTTCAACGTGGTGACTTCTCATGTCACATACAGGACAGTGAGGAAACACTAGCTTTTATTTTATTTATTTATTTTATTTATCTCTGAAGAGAGAAGCAACACCAAAGCATATATGACACCTCATACTAAGCATTTTAGAAGGATCCAGTGAAAGATATATTGGAAGGCTTCTTTATGCTATCAGCCAGGGAAATGGTTACACCCTAACTCAGATTTATTAATTGGCAATTTGTGATTTCTCCCAATTAGTCGACTACTGAAAGTATAAGCACCATGTAAGAGATACATACTTGCATCCTCTTGACTCTGTCTTTCCAGGTTTACTTAAACAATGTCCAGGTATGGGCTGGGATGCAACTTTGTAAATGCAGATTACAATTTCCTAGGTTTAGGAATTTATCTGAAAACACACTTATTCCACCATGTGTGATGCTTTTGCACTACAGCTCACTAATTTCTGCCAAACATGATTTTTACAATGAAAAGGTACCATTTTGTTAGCGATAACCTAAGTACAGGCAGGATAATTAATAATTAAATGGATACTTCATCTATGTGCAATTTAATCTTGGTTAAAATCAATTTTCTCAAAGGCCAAAAAGCACAAGTAGAAAAGAAAGTGTCAAAAGATTTCAATGTAGAAAGGGAAAATGTTATACTTTTGTTATAATTCATTATGTGACAGACCTGCTAAAAAGGCAGAGTGCCTAGGTAACAAAAACATAAATCAGGCATTGCTCTATCCTAGTATTATGTATCCTGACAGTAACAGGAACAGTACCCCAGGTCCACAGCCCCACACCATAGAAGGCAACATAGAACCAGAAAATTTTAACTCTGGTAAAATATTGGTTTAAGAAAAGAAAAAATACTAAAAATAAAACCCAATTGAATTTCAATAGGTGTTAACCTTCATGAAATTTTTGTGGGCACCAAAAAAGGAATGAGAAAGTACTTTTGCAGGTTTAACTGGACCTTTACAATTTTCAGAGAATTCAAGTCTTATTCTCAAAAGTGGGAATAAACAGGAGAAATAAAGTTGTTATTTTTAAATATAGGTCAGGGATGTTAATTCTGAAAGTAGACATTTTTTCCCCAAGGAAATATGCAAAACAGTAATCTAAGATAAGTTTCAAGTATCATACCTTTTTCCAAGCAATATCTAAAGCTTGTTTTTTCTTCCGGTCAAGTTCCTCAATAACTGCAAGAATTTTTATCTTGTCATTCTCTACAATTCTTTTTTTCTTCATTAAGTCATTGTACTGGTGAAATGAGAAGAAAAGATTGATTTCAATGAACTATGTGCTCAAATGCATTTTGTGCTAATCTTACAGCTTCACTGTATCATTGTGTAGCTATGAAATAGTCATTAACCACAAAATTAAAATCCAGTGCATTTATTTAGCTGCATGAGGGACGTAAGTTTTGGGATTACTTGCAAATTAAAGCATCAGAATTTTCAACAATCAGCAAAGGAGAAGGACAACATTACTCTGAAAGTTGCACTTCCAAGTTAATTTGCTTTTCCACAGAAGAAAGGATGCTTCTGGAGGCTGATAGGAGGAAACAGTACTAGAAAAGTTGAAGGATAAAATCAGTGGGCAATTTTCAGACAATCCTGGAATAGCCTGAAGATGCAGATTTATTCAAGACAACCTTGCTACACCATCAAGCTATCAGGCTTGAGGATGAATTTTTTGGTCTGCAGCTTTTAGTACAGTATATAGTTCTCAGATACTCTAATGGATGCCACAAAGCTTGCTAATGCTTCAATTTAGGGTGAACTGGGATAAGAAACGAATAAAATAGTGTTTTCTACCATCCAAACAGTTCAAAGATGTAAGATTAGTATGAAAGAACCAGCAAAAGGTTTCCTGGTATCTCATGAAGGTTTAGTTTTATTTCTGGAGTATTGAGAAATAGAGCACAAGAAAATGTAAAGCTACATTATATAAATCTGTATATATTGTATATGCACCATATGACCAGCTGGCCCAATCTTTACAGATTAAAGCACAGAATGTTTACCCTTTCCTCTGCATCAGAAAGCATGTTCATAGCCCTCGTGTTCACATTCCTTCCCAACTTCTCTTTATGCTCCTGCAATTTTTGCAGCTTCTGACTTGCTTCTTTAGGGTTGCTACTTTTGAAATCATAGGCTGTGTTTGGCTGGCCAAAGAGTGTTTTTTCTGAAGCTATCCACTTGTATTCTTTCAGCATTTTGGCCACCTGTAAACAAATAGATTTGCTGAGGCTTTTCCCTCACCCCTCTCAAATGTGAACTGAAAATTAAAACAAACAAACAAACAAAACCCAAAACCAACCAACCAACCAATCAAACAAACCAACCCCACCTACATTCTGAAATTACCACATTAATTCTTCTACCCCAGTGTAGCACAGGTACTTATCTTTACAATGCTTTGTGTGATTTCCTTCATTGTGGACAAGCCAGGAATTTAAGGTAGCTTTAATGTATCTAACTTACTTGAAGCACCCTTTTTTCTACATCTGAACTATAACAATGTCACTACATCATGGAATTACCTTCCTTAATTAGTTATCTAATTTGTCCACACAATCAGAATGTTCTTACTGATCGCTTTCTCATGGTGATCTATCCTCTGTTACTCCACACAGATCAGCTCTTTTACAATGTACAATTTCCCTCTTCCTCAGATAAAACTTTTCACATTGAGAGCTGCAAATATGACAGTGCTTAAAGAAAAAAGGCTATTTCCTCTGCAAGGGAAATGACCATTCTTGGTCACAAGATGTGAAGAGAAGCACAATTTTGAAATACCTTGGCAGCAGCATCAGCAGCCTCTTGTTGACATTTGGTGATGCCGTGTTCCAATTCTTTAACCTTAAGCTGTAATTCATTATTTTGTTCTCTGTATTTTATCATCTCTGCACATTTGTGTTTAATTGCATCATCATGTAATGCAATTATTTCCTTCTGCTTGGCAAGCTCCTTCTGTGCTCTCTCTACAGATTCCTGAAAAAGTAAATCAGCAGACATTTATTGGCCTCTTTTAAAGGTGGCATTAAAGCTGTATTAGAACTGACACAGCAAAAAGAAAAAATTCACGTGTGAAAGTGAAGCAAAAAATAACTGCCTGGGCTGATTGAATGTGGCAAGTAAGTCTGCAGAAAAAGATACACATTATAATGTGAGGTTCAAAGGATCACATAGAGAGCAACATGAAAATGGATAATCAAAGTATTCACTTTTACCTCTGTTGTAGCCACTTCAGCCACCATAGCCTCAACTTGATCCTGGTAGGATTTGATTGCTTCCTCTGCAGCTGTTATCTGTTGTTTATAGGAGGCCTGCTCTTGCTTCAGCTCTTCAAGTTCCAGAACTAAAGCTTTGACTTCCTAGAAAGATGTTTTCCAATTTATTAGTTTTACTTAAATGGAGAGAATTAAGATTCAGTTTGATGTAGTAAATACTGTAGAAGATTAACAACACCCATTCTTGAGCAAGGGTGCAATCTCACAAAAACAAAGAAAGAAAAAGACAAAAAAACCTCAGTCTGTGACTATGTCAGTGACTACACAGTAATATAGTGACTATGTCAGTGACTACACAGTAATATAGTAAGTCCCAAAACTGAGAGCAGGAGAATCAAATTTTCTGATTTTTGTGCCCACTTTTAACAGGGAGAGAACTGCCAACAGAAGTGAAGTTTTACCTGCTGCATGTCTTTTATTTTTTTGCTTGAAGCATCTGCCTTTTTCTTGGCATTTTCTAGTTTCTGCTCCGCATTACTCCGTTCTTTCAGACACTCTGTTTCTGCATTTTTAATTTTATTCTCTAATTCCTTGTATTTTTTTTCTGCTTTCTTTTTGCTCTCTTCAGTTTTCTTTAATGTCTCTTCACAAGACGCTGAATCAAGAAGTAGAGTACTGAGATTAAGTACTGTTCTCATCTTTAAATTTACATCCTAAATGCCAACTGAAATAAATCTCTCTTTGCCTCCAACAGAAAAAAAAGTGGTTGAACACTCACTAATTGCTAAAGTCAGATATTTCAATGATTACTCTAAGAGACTGTGTTGTTGCTACCAGTTATTAGTAGGGGAGCAAACAGCCACTATGAAAAGGTGACCTTCTTTATTGACAGAGGGAAGAATATGTCAAGTCTCAGGATCAAGAAGTAATTAATCAGATGGCTACCTAACAAGATGCCACTTCATCCCTAGAATACTATGTCTAGATATGTACTTCTGTCCATTTTTTAGATGTTCTACTTGTTGCTGCGTTTTGTGCATTTCTGTCTTTCCTTAGCTATATGAAACACTATTTCTTTCCAATGCTTTCTTGTTATGCAAACTATATTACTGTATTACTAACCTTAAGCACCTACAGAAACAGACAGCTTGAAAAAAGCCAAGACTACTCAAATATGGGATCAAATCCATTTTTAAACTTCCCTGCAAAGATGTATTTTCCATTATTACAAAGTATATAAAAACCATTAAATGAGAGTATAACCTTTACTATAAGAGAATGACCACCTTTAAGTGAATCACCTCTTTGCAAGCATACCATGATTCTTTGTTACAATGTTCCAAAATATAAAGCCAGTATTTTTAAAGTGAAAAGTACTTCTTTCTTAAATGAAGATTCTGTTACTCTAACAGCCTGGTATCCATTTCATTCTCAGCAATTAGTTTTCAGTTAAAAGAATAAGACATTTGTCACCAATGGTTTTCTTCAGGTCAAGCAGCTCTTCCTCTTGTTTGTGGTAAGCACTTTGATGAAGCTTCTTCTGCAACAGCTCTGCTTCCTCAGACTTCATCTCCAATTGCTGCTTCAGTTGCTGGTACCTTTGGAGACAGTAGTGACACACTGCTATATGGAAGGGTACCCAGCATCTCACTTTCAAAGCTGAGTAGATGAATATAGATATTCCATTTCTCATGTAAAATACAGTGATGAGAGTAGGGCAAATAAGTTTAGATGAATGAAAATCCAATAGAATTGCTTTAATGATAATTGTGAGGCTTGTAGGCATGTAAGTTATTATATATGCAGGTCCTGCTATTTAGCCTGGATCTGACACATTAAAACAAATGCAACTCGTGGAATTTGGCAACAATTCACAGACCATTTTCCCAACTGGCAGCATGACAGATGTTAGCTGAATAATTAAAGAAAAGATATCTAAAAGCCAAAGCTCTTTCCTCCTCTTGGCTATATTTCTGGAAGTCCACTGCAGCTCAAAACGATTTGAAGAAATAAATCCAGCTGGTAGACAGCATGTTATGCAACACTGCCTTCCTTATGGCATTTTTTCAGAACTGACTAAATATATTTTTCTCTTCCATCTTTTAATATGGTATTCAATAACTGAGCAGCTGAAAATCAAATATACTTAAAATTATTTCATTTAAATGCTTACAGCAGTAGCACTTGGATATTTCTAACATCTTTTTATTTTCTTGCAAGAAAAGTAAGACTGACCACAAATTGGAATTCTGTACAGATGTTAAAATTAAGTCTAGAACGGATCCATTTATCAGTGTACTTCATGAAAATTCAACTAATTTCAATTAGACATCAATGTGTACCCTTTTTTTTACCCTGTGTTATCCAAAACATAGTTTTTTTGCATGTGTTATTTAAAATTGAATTTGCTTTTTGATTGCTGAACTTGCTAATTAAATTGGGAGGAGAGGGAGGAAGGGAATTATTTTCTGCATATTACATTCTCAAAAAGCCTATGGCCTCCCAAAACGATTCATTATGTTAAATTTACTCAGATTAATTACACATTGTATAATGCAAACCCTACCTTTCAGCAACAGTCTTCAAGCTTGCCAACTCATTCTCTACAGCTACAAGTTCAGATTCCTTTTTCTTGAGTTCTATTTCAACATCTTTCACTTCTTGAAGTTTAGACAATATTGGTGTAGCCTGTGAGGAGGCACCTGTTCAATGAAAAAAATTAAAAAGCCAGGCTAATTGTAACTAGACCCATTACCATTGGCAATTGCAAATTCTAAACATTAACCAATAGGCAGGTTGATAATTTCTTTTAGCTGAGAAACAGGTATGGCAGTTAGGCTAAAGTTAGAGTTCTCAGAGGAGAAAGACTACCTCCTCTGTTCCATAACTTAGTTTTGCAGGCTCTGAATACTACAAATGCATAACTTATGCAAATAGCTAACTTTTCATAATTTATTAAATTATCGCAAACCAATGATGAATTACTTCAAGTAGTGCTTGAATTCCAAGCACTTTTGCTTCCAAGAGGATTACACAGTCTAATAAGATTTAACTATTTAAAATCTAAATTACTTTATGTGAAGTTTGTCAGTAATTTTTTCTTAAACTAATTAATATTATTTCAGCTCAAGACAACTTTAGCTCAAACAGATTATTCCCAGTATGTGTCTAAACGAAAAGGTTACTGTTCATTTTTATAAAAAATACTCAAGAGCAGTAAACGTATCAACAGGCACACAATATTATTAGTATTATATGAATAGAACCAGCAATTGCCTCCATGCAGAGTTCCTTGGGGATCAAACACATCTCCATCAAGAGTAACACTTCTTGTCATTATCCTTTTGTCGAAAGTCACTTTCTTAGCATTATCCATGTTATTACAGACCAGTGTTGTTCCAAAGACATATTCCATTGCTTTCTGCAGTTCAGGTTCATATACAATTAGAGAAAGGGCTAAATGCAAGTTATCGCGGCCAGCCTAGAAATCAAATGAAATGCAATTAGTGTGCCTTAAGTTATAAGTTTCAAATTTGATTTCTGTCTTTTATTGTCAACAAAAGACAGTATCACTACATTTTAAAACTATTTCAGCTACAAGTGGAATAATTAATACCCATTTAAACCTCAAAAAATTGAACGGATACAAGGGAAAACAAAATCAGCATATCCTAAAACCCCCAAAAGAAATTCACACAATAATAACCATTAAGAATTCCAGGTTTGTAGTACAGAAACAAAATTAAAACTGGACAGAGGTAATATAATGTAAAGAGTGTATTTATTTACATACCAAGCTTTGGGCCAACTTGACTGTGCCTTCTTGAATACACCTGGCTGAAATTTTGTTTAATGGAATGATGGTGTAGCGATGCTTTAGTTCACCCTTTTCTAAAAGCTTTTTGCCAGTAACCTCAAATGAAAAATAGTTACAAAGCATACCTGAGTACACAAGTGATTTTGTAAAGTGAGACAATAGGGCACTGGAAGAAAAACACATCATTGCCACCAACTGTGCACCACTTTCTTGACCCAGTTAAAACAGGAACATGGGTCCAAACCCAAACTCTCAAGCATTCTGTAACAAGGCACGTGCTTGCCAACCCTGAATCATACAACCACATGACAAAATTCAAAGTTCTGTACTAACACAATAAACTTACTTCTGTGTCCACAATAATGTTATAGAGTTTCCCTCCAGCCACCGCTTCCAGGGCTTTGGCATTGGATAGATCTTTCACAGTAAAAAGAGACACAACAGGGCCTTTCACATGGTTTGGATCCCAATTTTTTTCTGGATGTCTTAAAAGAAATACAAATTATGACTATGAATCATGTTTGTTTTCCTCTCACACATCTTTAAAAAACTTCTATTTAAAACCCATGACGCTTATTGTTCTCATATAAGCAATTCTAAATTCTATCAGATTAAGAATCCCCAACAAAAAAACCTGTCAAATTAAATACTTCACAGGAAGAGATTTGATAATAAAGAGTCAGTTACATAGTCATTAAAAGTATGTAATTCCTGATTTATTTACACATTTTTTCAATTTCTTTTTCCAATGGCTTCTGTTATTACCACAGCTATAGGAGTATGTTCAGCCTATTACATAAAAAATTAAACCTGGGGATATGGGTATTTGACTGGAGTTGATCTCCAAAGAGGAAGTCTACTTGTGTCCAAAGGCAAGAAACAATGATTATATATTTCCCAGTTTAGACCTTTGGATTCTATGGCTCTGGCTACTGAAGTTATGACTTGAAAATGCCATCAGACAAAACTTTTAAACTCTAGTGACTTTGACAAGATTGTAACATTTCCTGACTTTCCCCCTCACCTTCCCCCCCTTCACTTTGCAGCATGGGTAAGCCAGTATTATTCACTGGCACTAAAAGCAAAGCAAGAGCTAAGACATTGGTAGAATCATCTGGTAAAAGGTCCCCAAAAACCCTTCCAAGCATCTTTCAGGATCACACTGAGATCTTACTTGTATGTGAACTGTAGATGAGGAAATTTTGCCATTAAATTTTCACTCAGTTCTCTTAGCCGGTTGATATCAGAAATCAATGCCTTCTTTTTTGCTAGGAGGGCTTCTCCTTTCTCTTCTTCAGAGTTGAACACAAGCAGTAGACATATTCAGAGCAGAGAAATCTACTATCTTAAAAATCCTACACTGTTTATTTACATATATATAGAGAAGACTTTCTAAAATACTTTGCAAATTTTCAGACTAAATAATTAATACTATTGTGACACCAAATACACGAATAAAAAGTTTAAAGTGTAATGTTCTTCTGTAAAGGTTAATCTGGAATATTAGATAACAGTTGGGAGGAGTGTCAGAAACAAATTTTACCTAGCATAAGAAACAAACTATAAGAAGTGTTTTAGGTATGTAAAAACAGGATGCAATAGTCGGTCCTCTTTTCCATCTAATTTTATGTGGAATTTAATTGTGCCATCAAACTTCAAAATATTCAGCCCAAAGTTGCTAAAATCAAATTATTTCAAGCTGCTTTCTGTGGAAGTTTAAGAGTTTGCAGAGCTTAGATCAGAGAAATTTCTTTATGCATGAAAGCAGTGTACTTCATTTTTCATCCCCCTCCTGCATTGGGGCTGGCTGAGACAGAGTTAACACCCCACACAGAAGCCCTCAAAGTGCTGCTATTTGTGTTTCCACTAAACAGGCATACAGTAACTGTAACACAGTTTTGGCTACTGCTAAACATGCTGGCACAGGCACCAAGGCTCTCTCTCCAGTCCCCCTTCCAAAAGCCTGTGGGTAAGCAACAGGTTGGGAGGGGACATAGAATATGGGGTCCAAGGGATATTCCATACTATTATGAAGGTGTGCTCATCAGTAAAAGGTAAGAGAAAGGATGAGGGAAGGGAGTATCTGTTATTAAGGCCTGTCTTCCAAAACAGCCTTCCAAAAACAGCATACTGAGGTCCTACTTCACAGGAAGTGGCTGAACATTGCCTCCTAATTCCTGATGGGAAGCAGAGCATAAATTCTTTTGTGTTCATTTGTTTCTGCATCCTCCAGCTGGCTCCAAGAAAGAGCCACCACTGGCCACGTGAAAGGCCAAGACCATCACTGATGGTGGTGAAGCCTCTGGGATGATACATTATAGAAGGGGAAAAGAAGGCCACACCTCTCTGCAGTGGCTGGAAAGAGGAGTGACAATATGTGAGATGAACAGCCCTGCAGACAACAAGGCCAGTGAAGGAAAAGGAGGAGGTGCTCCAAGCACTAGAACTGAGATTCTCCTACAGCCTGTGGAGCAAACTGCTGAGGTAGCTGTGCCCTGCAATATGGACCACGGAGGTCCAGAGTGTAGCAGATATCCACCTGCAGCCTGTGGAAACCAACACTAGAGCAGGGTCCTGTAAGAACCTGCAGACCCAAGGACAGATGAGTCCATGCTGGAGCAGGTTTGCTGTTAGGATGTGTGACTCCTCATGGGACACACAATGGAGTAGCCTGTTCCTGAGGGACTGCACCCCATGAGAGGGACCTATGCTGGAGCAGTTTGTGAAGAACTGCAAGCCATCAGAAGGATTCACACTGGAGAAGTTCAGGGAGAACAGCCTCCCCTGGGAAAGAATCCCATGGTGGAGCAGGGGAAGAGTGTGAGTCCCGCCCCTGAGGAAGAAGGAGTGAAGAGACAACGTGTGAGGAATTGACTGCAACCCCCATCCCATATCCCCCTGCACCACTCATAGAGAGGAGGTACAGAATATCAAATTATTAAATAGAGCCTGGTAAATTAAGTTAAATTTCCCCAAGTCAAGTCTATTTTGCCCATGACAGTAATTGCCAAGTGATCACTCCCTGTCCTTATCTTAACCCATGAGCTTTTGCCATGTATTGTCTCCTCTGTCGAGTTGAGAAGGGGGTGGTAGAACAGCTTTGAACACCTGGCATTGAGTCAGGGTCAACTCACAACACTTCTGTACTACTTTCAGATTGCCCCAAAATTATGCATCAGAAGTCCTGATTGCCCCAAAATTATGCATCAGAAGTACAGACCTGAATAGTTCAGCTCCTTTATCTGTTTCTCTAGGGTCATTTTAATTTTTTCGACAGTTTCAAATGCTTTTCGGTCTTTCTTGTAGCCTTCATCCATCTTTTTAACTTCAGCTTCTTTAGCTTTTAATTCTTTTTGTGCATAATTCAATTTCATTTGAGCCTATAAGGAGTAATCAAATACGGAATGAGATCTTCAAAGACAATCTTGCAGGTGCAAATTTAGAACTCATGCACTGCCAAGCTGCCCATGTAATTCATAAAATTTTCAGCTGGTTGCAGATATGACAAAAAATAGCCTTGGAATTTGAAAATAATGGCACAGGTTATCTGGAAATTAAAACGTTATATTTAACTATGGTAACATGAATATATGAACATGAATAGAGTCTGAGAAGAAGGAAAGTAAAATAAGATGGGATACAGCTGTCCTTGTTCCTCTACAGAGAATAATTTCTCCTTAAGCGAGACAAGAAAAGTGGACTTTGGAAATTTAAACTCCACTATCAGAACTACCCCAGCAGAGGTTTTCTGTCTTAAGACAAAACAAGTGTTGTCTCTTCCACTCGTGTGATGAGCACACAATTTAACTAAGGAGAAAATAGTTTTTTCTAAACTCTCCATTTCACAATCACAAGCATCTTTATTTTGATTCCATTTAAGTTTAACAGTAGAAATCTCTTTGACTGTGTACCATGGACAACAGTCCTTTCTTTCCTATTCAAAACTACTGATCATTTGAGTACAGTGAATCCTACTTTATATCTCAAATGCCAGTTTCTAATACTCCCTCGCAGCAATATTACAGTATTTTCCTGTGCAAGGATATTTTGTTTATATTTTATCAAAAAGTTAGTTCAATGCATATACCAAAATGTAAAATATCTTGCATAGATATTCTGCCCCTCTTTTCAAAGACCTTTCATTGACCTTTCAAAGCATGTGTCGATTTGTTTTCAGACAATTTTCAAAAGCATGAAGGCAAGTCTGAGACAGGCAGAGGTTTTTTTCTTACCTGTTTAGCCTCTGTTACTGCTTTGCTAATTTCATCTTTGCAGATCATCATCTGTCCTGAAAGAGTAGCTTCTTCACCATCCTTATTGCTGGACAGGCCAGCAGACACAGCATTAAAATGCTGTTGCGCTGCAGCTAAAGCATGTGCATCTTTTTCACTTTCTTTCAGTAAAACATTTAATTCTTTCTCTAGATTCTGTACTTCTTTCTCCTTCGACACTAATGCTTTAGAATCCTTCAGCAAAATAAGGAACAAAAATAGAAAAAACTAAGAGAAAACCTGAGTCTATTTCCTTGAAATTAATGTTTATGTGAGGAGCAACAAGCAGTTTCATCAACTACATTTCTAAGACCCTTTATCAGATTTTGTGATCTTGCAATATGCCTTTGCATGTTTTCAAATGCCTTATTTGTCCCATGAGTGTACTGAATATCTTCAGAGGGATGAAATACAAGAAGTGGCAACAAGAGCCCAAGAACTAGGAGAATTATCTCACTCTTCCCAATACCTAAAAATAATACTCCTGCATAAAAAACATTGATTGTCAAAAATATGCAAGGCAGAGATTTCTCATTTAATTTGAAGAGTAATGTATGTCCAGAGAGTATAATAGTTTTCTACAGGGACCTCTGCTGAGCTTAAGAGAAAATTTGGGGCCATAAGGAGTTGCACTGTATTTGTATTTGCATCATGTCTTTCTCTAGTGGGAACTTAGTACCTATGCTGTACAAATTGAACAATGCCCTTAACATTTGTCTCTGCTTTCTTGATGTAATTCTTGCCAATCACAGGATTCTTCATACCATAACAGGAAAGGAGAAACAGCTGCTCACACAATCTGAATTAATTTAGTATGTAATGAAAATTATATACAAATATCTTACCTTCTGCATACGTGTTAACAATTCATTGTACTTAACCTCTTCAGCTTTTAAGTTTTGCTTCTTGAGATCAAGAGCACTTCGTGCTTTTGTATTAACTCTTTGATTTTCTGAAAGAGCAGCTTCCAATGCACGGAGTCTACCACCAACTTCCTATAATCAGTAATAAAGGTAATTTAATTTAGCCTGTGAAACCAGTGCCATGTTTGTAATATTTTGTCTTCTGTTCAGAGCTTTATATAGAAGGAAATCTGACCAAGCAGGCAGCAGTCTCCAATACCAACAGGTCAGACCATCTCGTATGTCTGAAATCCAACCTAACTTGAAGGTACTATTGAACACTGATGTCACTCCATAAGATGGGACATTGTCCCTGTACAGAAAGTAGATTTAGACATTCAAAGAGTCTGTGGGCCATCCTGTATCCTGTCAAATTTACTGCCCCCAACATTGAAGTCAATACTGATTATTGTCAAACAAAACCTTCCTTACTTTTCTTTAGAGACATCAACAAAAAAAGGAGAAAAAAAGTCTCTGGCAAAACTTACCATTAAATGCACCAAGTGGAAACATGAGGGCAAACAGTTTTTATGCTTGTTATTTTTCATTTGCATTTCAGACAAAAAAAAAAACCTTTTAAATGGATGTCTTCTAGACAAAACTGACAATGAAGCAACAATGAACAATGCATAATCTAAGCAACACACCAGAAGAAGATAAAAATTCAAGGCTATATTATCTATAAGAATAATTCCAGTGACTTAAAATTCTTTGTATTCAGGTATTAAGGCGAGCACAACTCTGTTTCCATTTACCTTATCCTTTTCCTTTTCCATCTCGGCTATGTCTTCATTAAGTTGTTTTACCTTCTGTTCAATTTCAGCCTTTGATTCCTGAAACTTCTCTACATTAGACTGCATTTCCTTTAACACATTAGTGGAGGATACCTTTTTTTCTTCAGCCAGAACAAACTGATAAGCTATACAAAAGCGGCTTAAATGTTCTATTTCTCGTACTATTTTTTGGTATTCTAGATAAGATGCTCGTTCCTGAACAGACAAAAATAAAAACAAACAAAAAAACAACTCTAAAATTTGATGGAAAAACAATGTTACATAAGACTACTATAGAAATCTTTTAAGTACCTCTAAACATCAGTATTTTTAAGTAAGGAGCAGGATTCTTCATGTTATTCTCAGCTAAAACAATATTAATATAATCGATTGCAGACGAGAAATACTGCTTAATCTAATTTTCTTAAGAACTAAGACACTTTAAAATAACTTTTTATCTAGTTCTCTTGATTTTTTTCCTTCTCCCTACATCTTTCCTGATGTAGGATGATGTAGGATTTCCTGAAAGTCCAAAATGTCATATGCTCTGTATATGGAAATATGACAAAATTCTCTCTCAAAAGATCCTACAGAGCTTGAAAACATGCTATTGTTTTAGCCAAAACATACGGGTTCAGGGTAGTTGAAAATATTTTTTCAATACTTGAAGGACCTTAACACCCTTCTAATTTTTCCATACCTCTTTCAGTTTCTCTAAAGTTGGACTGATCTCCTCATTTAAGACCTGAAACACATAACAGAAGATTTATATTCTGATTTTACTGAACTCTAAACTTTAAACATGTCTAGGCATGGATAACTAGTTCCAGGTGCAGAAATAAAATATTCTACAAGTCAAAGTCAACATTAAACTGGTTGTTCAGTTATCTTTAACAAACACCAATGAAAGCATGCTTTACAACATGTAATACCGTTTGAATGCTTTTCAGTTTTGACTCCTTCTTCTCTATGGTTTTCTGAACAGCTATTTTCTTGCACTCATACATCCTAGTACCAGCTGCTTCTTCAATCATAGCTAAAATCTAAAATAAAGCAATGCAGAAAAATTTGATGTTAGATTGGTTTCTTCTTATGTTAGATTGGTTCCATTAAACTGAACATCTCATCTCCCTCCAACTCTTATTTTTGTTGTCCCCCTCCCAACATATCATCATATCAACATATCATTCAAATCAGTTCAGTAAAAATTCGGACAAAAAAAACCCCACAACTTTCCTACCTCTGGTGGCTTCATATTTAGAACTTTGGTAATTTGGCCCTGTTGACAAAAAGATAAGAAGAGTGGTAGCAAAAAGTAAACCCAAAACCACAACTCCAAACCCCCACTCACTTTTATACATTAATTCCCCACTCACTTTTTTACATTGTATTGTAAGTTCAAGCACTTTTAAATTTTGTTTTTTGCTAAACAATAATCAAGTTTACTCAATTGTTTTGCTCTTCGAAGTTCAAGTAAGTCACTCTTTCAGGTAATATACCTGGAATGGCCCTTATGTCATATATTATGCTCATCCTCCACAGTCCTGATTACATCTTAAAGAAGTAATGCAAGTATTTTTCCTAGAGTTTTACTGGGTTGCTGATATTGAATAAGCTCCTAATCATAAACCAGCTTTTTTGGTGATGTAGCTCATACATAACAGGGAGAAAGAGTGTGTACAAAACTGTCCCCACTTTTGCCATCAGCTTGGGACAGTTACATTTGAAACAACAAATCCTACTCTGTTTTATTATTCCTTGCAAATATTTCAGGTATTTGTCTAGTCCCTTACAGTCTTCTAATTTTGTGAGCTTTCTTTTGATAATTGTGACTTAAGAAGGTACATATCTCAACTTCATTCAAGCTACTGTCTAACATGAAGCACAAATTATACAAAATAAAATCTGCCATTTTAGAATATTTATAAAAGCAATACCTATCTGTTAAGGAGAAAAAAGGTACAAAATAAAACGGGTATGTATTTCAGTAAAGTCTGCTAACATGAGGTCTTGTGCTACAAGATGTGTTTTAGGGTCAAACTATGCTGTACTGGAAATCTTAACTACTTAACAGAGTTAAATTTTAATTGATAAGATCCCACTCTAATTAGGAAATGAAGTGTTTTCCCACTATCTTCCCTGTCTTATTAAATTTAGGGAAAGACCTATTCTTTCTGGATTTTATAAAGATGCACACAATACCTGCATAATGAGGAAGTGAGGATTATTGACATTGAGTCCAACAGAACAGAAGAGATCCTGCACACGACTGTTGGCAGCATTCACACCATTGATAAGATACTTACTTCTACCTCCAACAACCACCTGGAGAACAAAGACAAAAAAACCGCTTTGTGTAGTGAGAATATAGACTGTAATAAAGAATAAAACATCTGAGCAAATCACAAGTGCATATACATGTATGTGTATACTGTGCAGAACATCAAAACAGAGCTTGTTTGGCATTTAAAATATTTAACTAAAATGTAAGAAAGATTAGTCATTGAGTCATTGATACTGTCAAGAAACTTTCAAAAAAGCCCTACTTTAAAAAACTGAACACTCAAAAAATAATCAAAAACCAAAACCACAACATCTTCATCAGTAAAAATAAAGATTCCTTTGTTCCTGGAGACCAAATTTAACACACAATTCAGATACTAAGAGTAAGATATAAAAACAGAAAAAGCCACAGGACAGAAATTTAAACTTGCTATATAAACAATTCTAGCTAATACACTGGATCTACTCCTACAGTTTATGGAACTAAGTACACTGTAAAGGCAACATAGCAACCTTGCCTCTACTGCAGAAACTCAGGGACTTTAAAAACTACCTTTTTTTTTTTCCTTCGCTCTTGAGCATGGTAAAAGTGTATATAGGTTACAAAAAAATAAAGATATTAAAGACTCACCTGCCTAGTCACAGTGATCTCATCATTAGCTTCAAATCCCAGCGGACTTTGACTCTTGTTTGAATTATCGAAGTTAATAGACACAGTTGCCTTTGTAATTCCAGCTTGCCCATTCTTATAAACTAGATCTTGCAAGTTGGAAGCTCGCACCTAAATCCAGGGAACAGATAAATACTTTTTTGAAAGTAATTAACTTCACATTTTCACTGTACAACCGTAGGTTTTGGAGAAATTAATAAAAAAATGAAGATTTAGTTTCGTATTTATGTGTTCATATGAACAGACACATGGGAGCTGCAGGGTGCTATCATACCACAACCAGCGTGTTCCAGTCTAGTTTAACTTATCCAGATGTTTCTGCATCAGATATATTCAGTCTCACGCAGCATTCAGTTCAAACACTGAATACAACTGTGAAAAAAGCCACCTGACAGTAAATTTATTTAACAAGCACATATTTTTCACAATGCAGTTCACAGGGAAGTGATTCAGAAAGTGTTCCTTGGAGGTCTGCTGGCTTTGTCTACAACTGGGGGAAGGTAGGGATGGGAAAGAAAGGAAATTAAAAAATCACCTTCAGACAGAGATTAAAATTGATGTCAGAGCACACAGGTTTTTTATGAGAATAAAGCAGACATATTATCTCTTAAATAGCAGGCGTTGCATGAAAACTTTTAAATTTTTTTCTGATGAACCAGGTAGCCAGATTTTAAGACCCAATTTAAGAACTGAAAACATTTATTACAAATGGGTAAATTACTGTCTTTAGATGCAAAAGATCTTTGGTTTGAAGCTGTTAGCTTTTAGCCTATTGCTTTAAGCCACATTCTTTGTGTAACTGGTATGTGGATGAAGTTGTAACTCAGCCTTAACGTAAGATTGAGAAACAATGACAGAGACATCAATTACATTTATGTAATGAAAAATCCAAATAATGAAACTACTTCTTTCAAAGAAGCACCACTTCAGGTCTTCCGTGGGAGGTCACTCACTAGAGCAACATGAAAAATTGCTGACAGAAGAAAGACCTTTCTTAAAAGTCCCGTCTCTTTACCTGTGACAGATTGCTGATTCCCAGAATGAAACAGATGGAGTCCAAAATATTGGATTTGCCGCTACCATTCAAGCCAGTAATGGCATTGAATAACGGGTCAAAGTCACGAATTTCCGTCCTCTGAGCATAAGACTTAAAACCTTCAAGAACAATTGACTTGATGTACATCTTCGCAGCTTTTCTAAGGGTCCAGTCAAAGTATTCCCCTGAGAAGCACTAAGAAAGGTATCTGGATTGTAATCCTATATGTTTCAGAGTAAAGAAAAAAGAATAACCAAATGAATCATACTGCCAAACAACTAGACCTGTAAGAAAATAGAAAGAACGCATGCCTTTTACAACAAAAATATCATGCATTTATAAACGAAAAAAGCCAAGTAGACCAGAGATCCTGGCAGTATCCCAACAATAACCTGTACTTGTGCGACTTGCCTTTGCACAAAGTTTATCACGACACTTGGGTATAGACTCGCGGCAAAACCACGGTTTTTGGCAAAGCTGGCCGCCAGCGAAGGGGAAGGAAATGCCCGGATGTTTCAGAACACGGCAGAGGCTCTATTTCCCGCTGGCAGAATTGCTGGACCTGCTCAGCCACACCGCCCGCGAGGGGTAAAATCCCAGGGAAGCGGCAGCCTCGGCTGAGAGGCACCGCGAACAAGGACCCATCAGAGCCGCATCCCCGACCCTGCCGCCTTCATCGCGCTGCCCCCGCGGCTCCGCCAGCGACCCCGCTCCAGCGAGCCCTCCCTGCCGGCTCTGATGCCAAATCGGCGGCGGGCAACCCTGCTTCCCTCCCCAGTCCCGATTCTTCACTCGCCCGCCCACCCACCCCCTTGCAGAGCTGATTCCCGATGCCGCTGCCCCACTCGCTCACCCCCGTCCGGAGCCGCTCCCAGATGCCCGCCCGTCCGCCAGGATCAAATTTTGGCGCCCAGCGTCTCAACCGTTAGGGGAGGCGCCTGATGGCGGCCGTCCCCGGCCCTCAGCCCGGCCCGCCCTCCCCGGCGGGAGAGGGGCGGTGCAGGGCCGCGCCTGGCTCCTGCCGGGAGAGGAGCGGGCGCAGCCGGGACGCGGCCTGGAGGGAGTGCGCGCACCTCAGAGCAGGCAGGCACGGCGGGCATGGCTAGGAAGGGGCTCCTCCGGCTCTGACGGGGGCGGGACCCGGCGGAAAATGACGGGTGCTGACCCCGTGGGGGAGAGAGGCCTGGGGCCTCTGGTCCCCGGGGGAGACGGGGGTGCACAGGAAGGCACTTGGGTGTTCGTGAGGAGTTCTGAAGCGGGGCTGAGGAGCTTGAGCGTTAACTTGAGCGGGAAGTGTCTTTGTACCTCCCTGGAATTATACTAAAATGAACGATGTGCTGTTCTATGTTTTCTACATGCGTTCCTACTATCCCACCCCCCACTCCCTCCCCACCAAAAAAAAAAAAAAGAAAAAAAATCAATAGCTGACATTTACTTATACATGCTTCCATTCAAGCAGAATTAGGAGAACTTGTTCAAAATCTGTGAGTATGTGTTACTTGAGGAACAGTAGCTGTCTATTTATTGAGGCGCTGGTCAAAGCAAGAAAGCAAAGTCGGCTGGATGCATTTGCTCATTCCTGAACCTGCTTTTGTTGTGATTTGTAAGTAGACCAGGACCTTGCTGTGGGCTCCAGTCTTGCACTGTCAGCTGGACACTGCTACTGCTGAGGTCTGCTGTAAAACTTGGTGGCCTGGACTACTGAGTTTGATGTTATTTCAGTAATTTGAAATAATTCAGACTGCAGGCCTACATTGCATTAGGGAAAAAAGTTAGTGTATTTGCTTGCTTCAGGAATTACATTGGATGCAGCTGTTTAAGGAATTAGTGTGGCAGCACTGCTACTAGAAGTACTATAGACAGGAACGCATGATGGTCCCTTATCTGCTGGTCACTTTCTTACATCTGGAAACTACATTGGGAAAAATGATTTTGAAGTATGGACAAGAATCTGATACTGTGTAACTATACAGCTCACTCTCTATTTGGCAAACTGAAAATGTTCCCAAATTATTTTTGAATCTGCACCCTGGGGCAAATATGCTTGAGTGTTGCCTGCCTGCGGGAGGGTTCCTGGTTTGTTCCTGTTAGAGGTGGCTGTTTGGACTACACTGAAGGTGGCACCTGGTTGTTCAAATGGCCAAAGTCATTCTCAATGTGTGGTTGATGGAGCTGGCAGCTGGGGAGCCAGTACTGTAACTGCTCCAGCTGTTCCTTTTCCATCCAGACTAACCATAGCCTGAAAAAAGGAAATCGAAATAAAGCATAACCAATTCTGATATGAGAGGCTTCATCCTATAAAAATAGCCAGGTTTGTTCCCTATTTGCATATGACGTAAGAAAGAAAAATAATTTCTTAAGTATTAAGAAATAGGTTCTTAAGTAGACCTGTAATAGCTTTGATGTCATAAGGCTTAAATTTGAGTGCTTCATTTTAAGAAATATAAAATCCAGTTGTAGCAACTTAACATGCAGTTAGCACATTGGAATGAATGTAATACATGGTTTGAGGAAGGAAAATATATTTTTAGCAACTGGCTGTCTAGAAGTGGTTTTGCTATTGTTATAATAACTTTATAGTGAATTTCGGGGAAGCAAACTTCCAGCTGTTCAAGGAGCTAGTCAGTGGAACTCTCTGGGAAACTGCCCTTTTGGACAAGGGATGGAACAGAGCTGACATTTTTAAGGACACCTTCCACAGAGCACAAGAGCTAGCAATTCCCAGTCACAATAAATCGGGTAAGAAGGGCAAGAAGTCAGCATGGGTGAGTAGGGAACTGCTGGTCTTTCTTTGGCCAAACTAAAAGGCATGCAGAGGCCATGGAAGAAGGGACAGGTATCTGGGAAGAGTATAGGGAGTCTAATTGTGTAAGGATGGAATGAGGAAGGCCAGGGGCATCTTGAGAAGGAGTTTGAAGAGTATCAAGAGTGGTTTCTACGGGTATGTTACTCAGACGAGAGAGGTTAAAGAACGTGTACATGCACACACACACACACTACAGTGGAAAATGCAAGGCTGGCAAGCAGGTAGCAATGGACAAGAAGGTTGAGGTATTCAATGACCTTTTTGCCTCGGCCTTCAATGGCAAATCACCTCTCCTTCCACACCCTTTGAATCGGTGGACAGAAGAGTAGGGACAAGTATAAAAGTGTTTCCCACCATAAGTGAAGGTGGCAGGGTTGCATCTGTGAAAAATGCCATCCTAGGGGTTCCAGTGTCATGACAAAGAAGCAGTGAAATATGGCAACTGACAGATTTGCCTCTTGCCACTCATCAACAGTAGTCATGTGAGTTCTGAGATATTTCCTATGGTCTGTAAATGTGAGTGTTCATCTAGCCATACCTCAGAGAGAAATTGGAGAGTTAAACTTGTCCCTAAATTGGAGGATTGTCTACCACAGGACTAAGTCCAGTTAGCAGCCCATTACTAGCCAAAATTTTTGATAACCTTGTGGAAGACCTAGATAGTCATGACCTGGAAGGGCAGAATCTTTCTCCGCTACCCTGAACTTGGATCCTGCTGCATTCAGAGTTTTCAGTTCCCTAGCAGAAGAAAGTCACTGGTACACATGAACAAATCCAATGCAGGATCACCAAGATGATGAAAAAGAACCAAGAGAGAAATGGTTTTGTTCAGTATCCAGAAACAAAAGCTGTTTTTCCTACTGCCTTCTTTAGCTGCTGAGCAAGACATTATTAAAAGAATGGAACACAATTCATCTTAGGGGAATGCACTGTAAGAGATGATAAATGTTGTTTGCTAAACAGTGTTTTCCCATGGCACATGGAGAGTCCTCCTGCCAAACCATGTCATGGTCAGATACTAGAACAGGTTGCCTGAAGAGACTGTGAAGTCCTTATCTTCTAGAAGAAATATAATTCACATGTTTGTCTGCAGTCTGGTCTGTGCTTCCACTCTTAAAATTTGTTTCCTTACTCTTGTTCACATCTATTTTCTTTTTTTTCCTCATGTCCCTTTAATTCTTCATTTATCTGTCTCCTTAATATTACAATATAACAGGTAACAGATACCAGATCAGAGGTATGTGTATGCTAAGCAGGCTGGAGCAGTGAGTTTCCATCTTGAGGGAGAAGTTGGTTGTGCATGTTACAAGCAGGAACTTGTTCAGCAATGAAACTACCCTTCTAAAATATTACAGAAATCCAGGAGGGAGCTTCAGAGATCCAAGTTCATGTAGTACACTATGCTGCAAGAGATGTGTATGTTGCAAGGGGATGTTTAACCTTTGTAGAAACCTATGCTATCAAAAACTCGGTTTTCTGTGGCAGCTGTAAAATCAAGCAGCTTAAGCATTTTTCTCTGTGGAGCAGTAAGAGGTCTGTTGCTGCAAATAAAAGAAGTGAAACTGGGCCACAGGAAAGCTACAGCTTTGAAGAAATCTTGCTTTTTACAACATGTGTTTGTCCTGTACCAACATTTAAGTAAGTCAGAAGTCAAAAAAGTTCCTGAAAGAAGATTAGGGTGTCTGTGCAGTGACTGGGAAAGCACAGCTGGCCCTTTTAGAAGCTTCAGCTTTTTTTATCAGCCCACATCAACTGCTGTGCCAGATAGAGCCATAGAACTGCCAAAGTTGGAAAAAGACCTTTAAGATCATCAGGTCCAACCTAGCACTACCATGTTCACCACTAAATGAATGTAGTTTGTCCATGTAGTAGACATGTCCTGAAGTGCCATATCCACATATTTTTGAACACTTCCAGGTATGGTGATTCCACCAGTTCCCTGGACAGCATGGTCCAATGCTTTACAGCCCTTTCTGTGAAGAATATTTTCATAGCACCTGTACCAAATCACCCTTGGCTCAGCTTGAGCTCATTTCCTCTCATCCTGCCACTTATTACTTGCAGACTGGATACAGCCTCCTTTCAGATAGCTGTGGAGAGTGATAAGGCATTACTTTATGTGCAGTTTCTGAAAGCTGAATGCAGCAGACCTGTTTCCATGATGGTGTTAACTTTCCTTTTCTCTTCCTCTGTGAACCTGCTCCTTTGAACTTCTGTTGCAATTGCAACCTTGTAACAAAGTGCAGGGTCGCACAGCCATCTAGTAGAGTGATAATCAGTCACCTCCAATCTTTGAGTTTCTTCCAAGGTTTGATAGCATAAGTAAGTGTAGTTGCAGCTTTATTGCTTCAAAATGCAGTGTCATGCTTGCATGGATATTTGCAGTATGGTCTCTGCCGAAAGTACCATGGGAGTGGGTTGCCTTTACTTTGTTCTTACCACAGGGAAAAAGAATGCAATTGAAAAAGCACTGTAAGAGCTAAGCCAGAGGGGAGGAAAAGGTAGTTTTTCTAAATGTTGTAGGCACATAGGATTTGAGGCTATACTCACTCTAGGTAATTGGTAATCCTTGTATGTGTATGGGAAGTCCTGAAGTAGCCTCTGGATTATTACTGCCATGGCAGTATCTACTGCCAGGAAGTCCTTTAATGTTAGTTTGGGGTGGGTTTTTTGGTGTTTTTTGTTGTTGTTTGGTTTTTTTGTTTGTTTTGTTGGGTTTTTTTGGGGTGTGTGTGTACTAATTATGACTGAGATACACTTTACTCAGCTTTTAATCATATCCTATTCTTCCACTGTGGGTGTGAGAATAGGTGTAACTGCTTCAGAATGGAGATAGAAGTACCACAATCATAATCTGCAAATTGTGACTGTCAGGAAAATGAACTGTTAAACTAACCCAGAATTTGAATTGAACTCATAACTGACAGGTTTCTAAGAGGATTTTGTCCTCAAGGTTAGATTTGGGCAAGTCCAGGCTGGGAAACCATACCACACCAGTCAGGAATAACAGCTGAGGTTACTTAAGAAAGGTAAACTTTTCTGATTTGACTCATGCTGTCTTGGAAGCTTTACTGCTTTTCTACTTTAATGTGACAATTCCCAGATTTCATGTATCACCGTTAGCTCTTCAGCCTTCAGTTAAAGTATTTCAATTTTCTCAGACTTGTCTGTCTCTTTCATTCCTGACCTTCTTTTCTAGTTGCTAGTGTTTATTATGGTATTCCAGTTTTCACCTCTTCCATTTTCACTTCCATTTTCCCCTGAATTGTGAATCTCTTTACCCATGCTGATTTTGGGGGACTGAGCTATGATTACCTGTGTGAAGGTGCTTTGTTTTCAGCTCTGGTACAGTTTGCAGCAACTGCAGTGCCTGAACACAGATGGGATCTTTGCTTTGTTATGTATATTGTTAGTGCAAAAAGCCAAGACTTCCTAATCCATTACTTCTTTCCTTGATAGCCTTTATTATTTGATAACTTGATGGGCTGGACTACAGGGCAAGGAAGGTTAGAAGGACATCAGAAAAAATGCTGTCTTGGACTTAAATTTCAGCAAAGGCTTTGATGGTTCTTTTGTAAGAGAATCAAGCAGAAATGCATCACCTTACTTTTAAAGGAGTCTTATCACTGTCTGGTTGTTTGTTCTCAAGTTAACATAGCAGTCTCTCTACTGTAATGATGTAATTTATATTTATAATATATATTTGTATTATATTATATTATATTATATTATATTATATTATTGTAATTTATAGTGGTTAATATAATGGTTATTAGTGTATATATACACTTTATATAGAAAACAAACAGAAGTGAAACAAAGAGTTTTAAATCTATCAGCAAAAAGCTTTTAGATGAACATTCCTAATAATAATTTTGAGTCAAAATTTGGAACATATTGGGAATTTATGTGCCAGAGACATGTTCAAAGAAACAACAATTTTCAGGCATTTATATACACTATAACATTCAAGATTTTTTATAGACACTCCCAAAAATATGCCTATTTTGTTGCATCATGGTGTATGTGCTTTGTTTATTTTGCTTCCAGAACACTTCATCTGTCTTTTTTTAATGGATAACCCAAGTTTTATCCAGCTAAACAGTGCTTTATTAAACTTACTGGTTAGACAATTACTATTGATTAAGATTTCTGGGGTGTACTCAACTATGAAATGGCTCCCTTACTGCACCTGCAATGTATTAATCAAGTTTTCTGGGATGTATAGGCCTTTGACTCCTTTCTCAAAATATCTTTCTTGTTCTGTGACTTCTAATTCATCTCTAGTTAATTGATAACCATTAAATTATTCTTTACTGAATTTTGTTCTTCAACTATTGATTAGGCTGTCTAAGAGGTATGGGTCCCTGGAGTCCTGTTCCGCAGGTGCAGAACTGACACTCAGCCTACACAGATCTAAATCAAAACCTGCTAAAAGTCAAAAGTCACAGTCAAAAAAAATGTATTATTTAAACCTACTGACATTGAAAACAAAGTAGTTTTACAGTTTACAAGAGCAGGTTACTGTTCTTGGAACTGAGTTTGTGGTTATGACATGACAGTAAGATTTAACTGGAGCCCACAAATGTTGTATCACTGCTGCTTATCCTTTGGAGTTATTTAATATGCTTAAGCAATGTAGTCCTTACCATTTCTTAAAATTTTATATCTAAATATGCAAAACAATCTTGGTTTGTTAACCTAGGAATTAGTTTGTGGATCCATTAATCAAGCATGTGCCTGTGTTTTCTGTTTGGTTTGAGGCTTTTGGTTTTACGACCTACAGGAAAGTCTCCTAGCCTTGAAGTGGCTGAAATGATGTGATTTCAACAGAAAAAGAGAAATAGTAAGCAGAAAATTTGTCTTGTTTCCAGAATTAGGCCTAAATGTAATAAAAAAAAGATTTAGTGAAATGTATTGTTCCTAGACGGGATCATTGCTCTGCTGAAAAAACCCATATTCCAAAAAGTAGAGATCTTTGAGGTCTGATCATGGAAGCACTCAAAGAAACAACAGCAGAGAGACAGAAATGGCCAGTACTGATGGCAATGAGATTTGCAGATCACATGATTACAACATGTTTGAAAGAGCCAGGTAGGCAAAACAAAGGACAGCCCGAAGAAAGTAACAAGTTCCTGTATTCAGACATGGAGATTCAAGCTATTAAGATAGGATAGTGGGAAAATAAAGTACAGGGCTGGTGCCTTGGAGGCATATAGACAAAAGATACAAAAAGCAGGGAGTCAGTTATTGATTCACAAATGTGTGACAGAATGGAAGACAAAGCATTTCTGAATCACTGTTGGCTCCCCGGAAGTGCAAATGGCACATCAGTGAATGGCTGCCAGCCTATCCAGCATCCCTTTGTCCCTGGTCATTTCTGGTTGGACCACTTGGGTTCCTATCTGAATGCAGGGCACACAGGTGGGACAAATCCCTCTCAATGCCTGGGACTGTAAGCTAGCGAGTGGGATCAGTTTTGTGTTACTCTGAGCTCACCATTTGCTCCTGTAAACGTGTTTTCTGGCTTTGCTTTGTTGTTGCTGCAGTGTCATGGTATCTTTTGTTACAGCCAAACACTGTTGACACCAAAGCAAACACATAAAGCAGCAGATACAAATGCTGGCTTTGGCTGCTCATTTACCTAAGTGCTTTGACATTGATTTTGAGGATACTTATTCTTAATTTTGTGAAAGGTGATTTCCCCAGCACACGCTTCTGGTGCAGGAAACCTTCACCTGCGTTGTGTTTCTTTGTCATTGAGGCATACAGAACATCTCTTTTTCATCACAGAAATTTTTTGAGTGCTGATTAGTTTCTGGGTTTGGTGACTTTATCTTTTATCTAAATAGTGGAGAGCTTGCTCTCTTCTCCTTGATCCTTGCATGTGCACTTTCAATAAACACATTTTGCTTTTTTTCCCTCAGGTCCTTGTTACCAATTAGCACTTCTGTCTTCGTGGGTTTTGTAGTTGAACATGTTGTATGCTATATATTGGTTTCTTTACAGTTTTCACCCTTCATATTGTACTTGTACGTTTTCACATAAAGAACAAAAGCTGAAGACAGCCTCCTGTTCAAAGTTTTCTCCCTTGCTACACACCTCATTGCAGCTTAGTTGGGGCAAAATGCCAGAGTTAGCTACTGTTTCTTAAGGTGGCTCGTAGATAGAGGCATAGTCACACAAACTCTCCTTGCACTGGGAACAGTGAACATTCCAGGGCACACCATGAGTGGTGAATGTATGGGCCATTTGCTGTGATAAAGTATGACTTGAGCAATGAAATGGACATTAATTTTCAATTAGATATTTTTGCACTGAGTTAAGAGTTTCAGGGCTGGATTGGTAAAATGTAATTTGAAGAAACTCGTGTTGTGGTGGATAGTCTTGGTCTCCTGACTGCTGTATTTTGTGGGTTCTAGATCTAGAACCACGGGTTTTGTGCATTTAGCATTGCGTTCTTGACAACATGCCTGTGCAACTGGCTGGGCTCTGAATTGGGGGTGTTTGAAGGTTGATCTCAAATGTTAATGGGAAGAAGGTGAATCACAGTGGGTGTGCCTTTATGCTACCTTTACTTAGGATTTACACTTACTCCTGGGGACGTTTACTGAGGGCAGTACTTGTTGACAGCAGACATTTTCACGTTTTTAAAGTGTGTGACTGAAGGAGTCCAGCCACTGACTGAGCAGACACAGAAGGTTATTAACTTGTCAGCAGAAGACCCAGTTTTCAGCTGCTTGCTCTAAGTATAAGCTTCTCTTTCTTTGTTCTTGTTGATGCACTTGGGTGTAAGAAGGGGAAAGGATCTGTGAGGATAGCATTAATGCAAGTAATTTATTTGTTTCTGTCTTGTATGGAATATATTTGTAGCAATGTGCTCCCAATTCCAAGCTCTAAGCTTCGCAACTGGATAAGTGTTTTCTTTCAATATGATGATTGTCACAGAAAGAGGTCTTGCTTACCATTTTTTTCTCACTTGCACTTTGGTTCAAGCATGTAAAAGTAGGTTCAGTAGACATCTCAGGTAATGGTGGTAACTTAAGACTTAAGTTTTAATCTCTTTTTCTAAAGGGATTTTTTTTTCCTCCTAAAAATAGTAGATTTTCCTTCTTTACTATCCTTAGCGTGGGAGTTGTACATTTTTCTGGGATGACTTCCGACATGAGGACTTGCTGCCATCGGGCAGGGAGGTCTGACAGGTCACAGGAAGATTTGGGTTGCTAAAGCAATAAGGAGACTTTTCTGACATTTTTCTTAACCTGGTGATTTGACCACAGAAGCAAGCAGAAGCTTTCTTGTGTGATGGCACATTATCGAGATAGGTGTTTTGCCTGATGAAATCTAAACCATCCCCCTGAGCAACCCAGCACTGCTGGGCATCAAATTGGCACGTGTTTTGTCTGTGTTTGTTGCACAGGATGGTGACTGCCAAAGCATGGGTTCTAAAGAAGCATTTTGATGGTTTTCCCAAAACCAATGATTTTGACCTGAAAGAGATAGAGCTACCAAATCTAAAGGATGGAGGTGAGTAGAGTGCTACCTGTTAGTACTAATTTTTCTGGAGATTATGGTTGCTGATATATGGCTGTGAATCTATCAAACTGCATGTTTCTCTTTGGACTTTCAAAAATTGCTGGCTTCTCACAAGCTGTGTGCCTTGAGGGAGAAGGACAATTGTTGAAGACTATACTGAGGGGTTTGGTGGTTTCAGACACCTTGCCTTCTGATAATGCCCGTAGAAACAGTGATTTTAATTGTAAGTGCATTGCACAGCAGTTGTGCCATACCTTTCACAGTTTCATGCTGTCTAATCACACTTGCCGCCTGATGACAAAGGCATTTGAATGTGTTTGCAAATGGAGAAAATTACCAAAGTGATATGGCCTCAAAACCTACAACCACAGGGAAAACAGAATTTCTTTAATGCAGAAGGAGAAAAGTGAACTGTGACACAGAACCGATGAAGTAATTGTATTAAAATCCTAACATGTTTTACTAGTAGAATGTTTTTATCTACTTAAATTTGCAAAATCCTTTGGAATAAGATGGAGAACATGATGCCCTGTAGGAGTAGGTTTTTGGTGGAGTTTTTCATGCTGATAGGGGAAAATGTTGAGGATAGTGCTGGGAGGAGCAGAGTGACTGCATTGGGAATGAGCTTACAGCTGAAAGACCTTGGGGTTGGAGTCAGTGAAGGCTGGTCTTTTATTTCTAGAGGTAGGATAGCATGATTTCTACCTGCATTCAAATTTATTTTTTTTGCCAGTCCTTATTTTATTTGTTCTGTTACAACAAGAAGAGAGGTTGAATATAAATATACAAAAAAAAGGGACAGTTTTTATTCCTGTGTTTCTCTGTTTTGAGAAGAGTAAGGAATATGATAACTTAATATCATATCAACAGCAAGAGCTGTTGATAAAAGAATGAACTGTGATTTTTGGTTTCACATGGACATTTGTACCATATTTTCTTGAGCCTCATCCCACCACTTGTCATTTACAAAATTTGCCACACTTAAAAAGGTGTGCAGAAGGAATTGTGCAGAAGGATATTAAAGTACCAATTATGTTTACAACTTAAATGTTTGAAAACTGATTTCTTCTTACATATATGGATACACTTAAAAATTTCATGCTGCTGGGTATTTAAGAACATGGAATATTTTTTTCCTTCCTATTTTAATCCCTAAAGCAAAAAGAGGCAAAAGTTCACACTACAATGACATTTTTAAAGGTGATGGATGGCCTTCCTTGTTATGTTGCATGGCTTTCCTGCTCACTTGAATAAAGAGAAGGTATGTACGTCTGAGTACGTTTCTAGCTTGTGCTAGCTAGATCAGTACAGCACAGGCAAAGAAAAATATTACTAGGTGGAGATGAACCGCTAAAAGTGCAGGGTAAATGAGAAGTTTAAAAGATGTTTAACAATGTCTTTCCCAAGAACTAGTGTTATTATAGACAGTAAAGTGGCTACTTAGAAAAGATAAACTAATGCCTTCTGTTTAAGGCAGCCAAATAATTTGTATTTGACCTGTGCCACCCTCTTCTGCCTGACTCATGGGTTGACATTTTTTATTACATCAAAATTAAATGAGAGATTTGTTTAGGAATTCTGTCTGCCTGACCCTTCTGTAGGGAGAAGAGACACATGCAAAATTGCAGGTTGAAAATAAGATGCTTTCCTAAAGCTAAACTGGGGAAAGTTTCAACAGCATACTAGTAACCCAAAACTAATGAATGTAGTTGCTGTTTCTGGTAGGCTTTCCCCTAAACAAAGATGGGATATGGGAGTTCTGAGCTGTCAGGAGTTCATATCAATTTAGCTGAAAGATTGACTTGTGAAAACTATTCTCTTCTGCACTGTTAATATCCAGGAACTTGCTTTGTCTTTCATTGCAGAGTTGCTGCTTGAATCCGTGTTTCTCAGTGTTGATCCTTACATGAGGTATACCTTTATGTCCTTTCTGAATTTCTGGCTAAAGCGCCTCATTTGATTTGCCATTTGAACCTCAAAAAAATAGTGGGCAGGCAGTACCCACTGTTGCCAGAGTCCCAATGCTTTTGTCCGCTTTTTAAAAAATATATGTTAATTACAACACTTAAAATATGGAGCTGTGCCAGATTTAGCTAGACATTGGGGTAACATTTCTGCTACCCTAGACTTTTCTTGGAATCATCTGTTGTTCCTTGTCATGTCTTCAACTGGAATGCATTGTACTCAAATGAGACTGCAGCCTCATAGGAGTTCCTGCTTAATTTAACTTAGCAAGCTTGTACTTAAGGACACATATTCACATATTCTAAGTTGGACATTGCTATACCCAGTTGGATATACCCAACAGATGGTAGTTGAAGCGCAGGGAGACTGGGTAGTTTGAAGAGGCATTGTGGGTGATAAATTCAGAGATAGTTCTCTCAGTCTCAGGGTTTTTTTAGTGGTAGACCATGCTGTAAAGATTAATGCAATCATCCCTCCAACACTGCTGCCCAGGATGCCCGAGTAGCTGGCTCTGGAAAACGTCTGGTTATGCTGTTAGAATGACAAGCTATTTGTGATCTGTTCAGCAGCACTGCTGATACTGTCTTCCTGGGTCAAATAGTTGCTACTATGTAGCGTGTCTGGGACATTATTAAAGTTGCTTACAGTAAACTGTGTTTGCCTGTGTTGCAGGCCTTACAGTCAAAGGGACATGAAAGAAGGTGACGTAATGATAGGCACGCAGGTTGCCAGGTAAGACATTCAGTTCCTGTGCATGGCAGATCTCAACAGGAATGTGCTGACACAGGAGACATCTGCAGCCTATGTTACCCGTCGTTGACTTGTGTGTACATACTTCTGCTACTGACATTCTTAGCTGTAACTGATTGGAATGTGTCATTCCTCTAAGAACCACTTTTGCCTTTCTGGAGAGCATTTAGACCTATGATAAAATCTGTATGTTGTCTTCAAAGGCAATTTTTACAAGTATAAAGGACCAACCATTGTACTTGCCACACATTTTGAACGTTTTAAAACCTGATGTGCTAGTAGCTGCTTATCTGCAACCATGCATGCTATCTACTCCATCTGAAAATATCTCTGCATTGCCAAAGATACAGCTCTAGCAAAAGGGTCATATAACCTTAAATCCATCCTTTCCCCAAGTTTGTGGCAATGAAGATACACAGATGCTGCCCTCTGTCGCCTTTATCCTGCTGTGCTGCCTGTAAGTTGCTGCCTAGGAACATCTGTGGCCTTTGACTCTTGTGTTTCTCTGCAGAAACATTGAGGGCTAGGATAAATTAACAACCAAGTCTGGTGAATGGAAGGTCAGCTAATAATTGTAAACTGCTTATCTACCCCTTTCCAAAACAGTTTTCTTGTTGAACAGAGTGGAATTTTCATTTGGCATAGAGGCTGCTGTTATGGATGTCTCCCTGATTTTAGATACTGCTTTTTATCTGGTTTCATTACCCAAAGAAGTTCCATCTTCAGGATCTTCAACTTTTAAGTGAGGTGCAGGTTGTCTGAGAACAGACAGTCCATCAGCAACTCCTTGCTCTTCCATGTTTTAATCCCAGTGTCTTCTTTCCTGCATTCTAAATCACAGAAACCTGGCCTGATCTCAGACCAAACTGGTGCTAGTCAAAGAAACAGTTGGGGCTTGTGTGGGAAATTCAGTTTATTGTGGAGGGGCTGAATCTAAAATCATCTTGCCAGTACGTCCCTCATGATAAGATGTTGTCGACATTTCAGGAAAGACACTTGACACCTACAGCATCAGGAAGTATGGGATAAAAATCATGGCGTGAAAATACTCCTTCTCTGAATCACATGAAGAATGGAAGAGCCGGTATTAATTTGTTTCTGACAGGATGTGGTTTTGGTTTTTGATTTTGTGTTTGTGGTTTTTTTTACTTTTTAAACAGGATTGTAGAAAGCAAAAATCCTGCTTTTGCAGTGGGGGCCTTTGTTTTGGGTAACAAGGGCTGGAGAACTCATTTTATCTCTGATGGGAAAGACCTACAACTCCTTCCTTCCAGTTGGCCAGAATCACTCCCCAGATCTCTAGCTCTTGGAACAGTTGGCATGCCAGGGTAAGTTTTGAGATGAAAAGGCAACTGTCCTCTGGATTTTGGTGTTCAGGAGGTTTCTGGCTGTCTGTACTGACCTTTGTCTTGTTCTACCAGCATATAGCCTATTTATGCTGGTAAAAAAGGTGTGCTTCTGGTTGCCCTTGCCCTGTATAGGGCATGAAGTTTGGCCCATCCTCCACATAAGAGGAGATTTGCCTTGGAGTTTATGCTCCTTCCTCATGCCTTGGAGATTATGCTCCTTCCTTTGAGGAGCTGTAATAAGTCAGAAGGAGAATCCAGGAAAAGCTGGAAAGAATCTAGTTCAGTCTGTCTGTGTTAAACACAGTGAAAAGTCTCAAACTTCACTGGCACCTGGACTAGTCTGCTTTTACTAATTTGGCTCTGTTGCTATTGCTGTATTTCCAGTATCAACCCTAAAATGCAAAAGGCAGATGCTGTTTCATGCAGCAAAATAGATGTCCTTTAAATTGCACTGCAGCAGACAGAATTGCTGTGCTTTGGAATCCATATTTACTATTGGAATCTATCTGTGATCTTGCATTTCTTACCTCATTAGTTTTTATACATTACTTCATTTTCATGCATTACCTCATTTAGTTTTTATGTTACCATCACGTGGTTTTTACGGGAGATCAGGATTTAGTCAGTTCTAATGATCTGGAAGGCTTTCAAAATGATTGTAAATTTGTGTGTGGTGAAGAACTTCTCAGATTTCACTTTAACAACAGTCAAGATGCATGTTTTTTTCTGGATAAAGGGATCCACTAAGCTCTTTCAGTTATGACCACATGGGAAGCTCTAAGCTTGCATTTAGAAATTAAAAGAAGAACTTTTTGGGATTCTTGGCCAGTCGATGAGCTACTTTAGTGGTTCCTACAAATTACTAGTGCACTGGTGAGACCTGAAGTACAGCTTCCAGTTTTGGGCCCCTCACTACAAGAAATACTTTGAGGTGCTGGAGCATATCCGGAGAAGGGCAACAGAGCTGATGAAAGACCTGGAGCACAAGTCTGACTTATTCAGCATGGGTAAAAGCAGGCTCAAGGAGACCTTACTCTTCTTTATGGCTGCCTAAATGAGGTTGTAGCCAAGTGGGGGTCAGTCTCTTCTCTCTGGTAATAAGTGACAGGACAACAGGAAATGGCCTCAAGGTGCATTAGAGGATGTTCAGGTTGGACATCAGGAAGAATTTCTTCCCAGGAAATGTTGTCAAGCATTGGAACAGGCTCTCCAGGAAAGTGGTGGATTAACTATTCACTATTGAAAGTGCTGAAGAAACAACTGGGTGTGGCACTTAGGTCTAAGGTTTAGTTGACAAGGTGATAATTAGTCAAAGGTTGGACTCTGTGATCTTGGAGGTCTTTTCCAACCTTAACGATTCTGTGTTTCACCCAGTAGCCATAGCAGAGTAGTCGTCAGGAGCAGTGAGCCCATCAGTTCAGCAAGTGTTTCTCACCCTTTTTATCTTTTTCTGCCAGCTTTGATTTGTGATGAGTATAATTTAATCTAGTAGATACCAATTGGCAACTGACCTCTGTCTAGCTTGGATTTACTATCTCTTCCAGTATGTAACTGAGTTCTCTCAGAGTTATCTGTTTCTCCTTTCTACTAATAAATACAATGAAAGCTGATTTCACCTTATAGAAATTTCTGCCTTAGCATTCTCTTTCCCAGCAGTGTCTGGTTTTTTCTATGATTGCTGTGAAAAGGCCAAATTAAGAAGATTGGATTAATTTTTTATTTCACAGTATAGGAAAACAATCTTGTTTTGGTGGTGATGATATTTTGGTTCAGTGTGGTCAAGTCATGTCTCTGTTTCTATCATCTTTTATTCCTCACTGAACATTCTTTCTTTTTCTTTGCAGCCTCACTGCATATTTTGGTCTGCTGAAGGTCTGCAAGGTGAAGCCAGGAGAGACAGTGCTGGTTAATGCTGCAGCTGGTGCTGTGGGCTCTGTGGTGGGGCAGCTTGCTAAAATTTGGGTGAGTGGGTTGAACTGCTCATACTTGCTGCTGAGAAGACATAGCTGTAAAACAGGGCAACAAGGCTATGAAGGATCAGTAGGACAAGCATCCCTGATAACATGCCTACACCAGGGTCTTGAGATGGAAAAGCTCCTGAAACATAGTAAGTCTAGTTGGATGTTTCAGGAGCTCATATGCTGACAACAGCCTTACTTTAAGGGTGAACCCTTCACTCTGCATGCTCTGAGTGTCAGCCTGAATTGACCCATGTGTTGTCAGGGGATGTTTATAAATAATTTTCTCCTTTCCTTGCAGAGTTGCAAAGTGGTTGGCTGTGCTGGCTCAGATGACAAGGTTGCCTATCTGAAAAAAATAGGCTTTGATGAAGCCTTTAATTACAAGACTGTTAAATCTCTGGATGAAGCACTGCGTAAAGCCTCTCCTGATGGCTATGACTGTTTCTTTGACAATGTAAGTTCAGAGAGAAGGCCTTGCCTTGAGCAGCTGTCATTTTTTTTAAACTGTAGCAGGAACTCAATATTGTAATAATCTAATTGAAATCTACACTAGGATTTCAGTATGGAGATCCATTTAATCAAGCAGCGGTCTCTGTAGGAGCTTACCACTTTTCTGTTCCCTTCCCACAGATATTTTTGCAGCTGACTTGAGCAGTAAGAGAAAGAACAAAACCCAAAAGGCAAAGCTGTATTGCTGGCAATATTTGTGAATGTAGAGAGATAAGTTTTACTTTACTCTCTGAAAAGCATGGCACATTTTGGGGAGGTGACAGTCACAGTAACATGAAACTGATCCATTCCATTCCTGGCCCCACCTTTGACCACCGGCATTTCTCTGCTGTTACTGAAAGGGTAGTGAGTGTGGGTGGCTCCACATTATGTGGTCATGGGGACTACATTGGTTCCTGTAAACAAAACTGCAGCAAGGCCCACTTGCAAAACTACTGGAGCAGACCTCAGAAAGTTTCTGACATCTCCCAAATAAAGCTGGAATTAATGGGGACTATGTGCTGTTCTTGCTAGGTGTTTGAATGTGAACATCTTGTTTTGAAGGCTTAGAAAGTTTAACAGTATGGATGTGATGCAGGTAAATCATGTCAGTTCACTTTCAAGATAAAGAAGACTAGCCCTATCTCTTTTGTTTTCCTACTACAGCTAACATATGCATTATACCTGATAATATAATACCATACAGGGGTATTAACTGATACATGGTCTTTAAACTCTCTGGCTAGCTACCCCATTTAAAAGAAGCCACTGTCACCTCTTTAGCATGTCTTTCCTTCAGCAGTCCTGCCAATCCAGGAATGAAGGTCTTGGTGTTTTGCCTTTTTCTGGCAATTGAAAGGAATATTTGGTGTCAGGGCAGAGTGCTTGTCTCTGCTGCAGGAGCTCCTGCCACTTTGTGTTTAGCCTTCCAACTTTCATGTCCCATGCTGCTATGGTCTTAAATAGGTTTTATGGTCATGTCCATTCCATTGTTTTTCACTTCCAACTTTTGTGCAGAGCTCCCCACAGCAGTCAATTTTCTCACAGTTTTTAACCATTAAAAACTTATTTTTACAGCACATCCCTATTTTGGACATGAGAACCATAAAGTGAAAATTTACATCACCACGATGTACAGATGTAAAATTGCAGACTGGTGTGTGGGAAAAGCAGAACTGGTGCTTCTTAGCACCCTTAGGAGGAGGGATCTATGTGCTAGTCCTGTCTCATGCTTCCAAACCAAGCTTTGTGAAGCGGATTTGGAAGTAAAACTGATTCCTTACATTCATAACTAATTTTTAGAAGAGTGAGATGGAGTCCTTATAGCACTGTGTAAATGCAAGGGTTTCTGCGGCCACCAAGTTTTTGGGGTGATGGAAGTTGCTGCTCTGATTGAACCACTTCGTGCAACAATGCAATGTTGGCAGATTTTGGCAGTCAATGCTAAACACTGGATTGTCTCTAAGACTGCACATGCTCTGGTTCTTGCAGGTGGGTGGAGAATTTGCCAGTGTTGCTATCAACCAGATGAAGAAGTATGGAAGGATTGCAGTCTGTGGTGCCATCTCTCAGTACAATGACACTGTGCCTCAGAAAGGTGAAGGTCTTTATTGTATCGGTTTTCTCTTTGGTGATGGCAGAAAGACATAATGGCAATCTACTGTTTACTTCCCTGTGCCATTTAAGAGTATATATGTGTATATATTTGGGTAACTGACTGCTGCTGTGGGACACTGGGACCACGCTCCTTGTGTGTACATGTACTCATCCTCCCTTGTGCACACTATCTTGTGAAAATCAGCTGATTAGAAATGATGGAGTGGCTGAACTACTTAAAACAGCACTCCAGATGGCCCTATGCAGATACAGGTCAGCAGAAGCCAGGTGTGGTGTCACGGTGCCATTTATACAGCAGTACATACTTTAAGGTGAGATAATGGTTTTCCCTCAGGTTTTTAGATAATGCAGGTTAAGGTTTTTGTGTTGTTTTTTTTTCCCCCCATAAGATTTCGGCTGCTAATGAAACTGCTGAGAAATGTGGCTGAATGAGTATTCATTTTCAATAGCTTTAAATTTTCCAGATTTGCCTTCTAAAAGAAATAGAAAGACTGTATTCTTTTTGGTAGCTGACCGGCTTTGGACTCTCAGATCACTTTAAAAAAATAGAGCAGGCTTTTGGTAATGAGGAGACTATCACACATTTCTGTGATTGAGGAAACTTTTTCTAGAGTTTATAACTTAAATTTTAAGAGTTAGAGAGAGCATGAGAGTCTGTCAGGCTATCAGCACACTATCCAAAAAGGTGTTAAAACAGTATTTTTGAGATTCAGTTTAAGTCCCTCAGGTGAAACTGAGGCCACTTTATTTCTGAATGAAACTGTTTCCAGAATTGTTTAGCCCCATAGCTTTATGGATCAGGCTTTGTCTCCCTAGTCTGTCCATGAGTATTTGGTCTTTTGTGCTGGAAATTCTCTGGAAAAAATATCTGTTGCTTCTGGCTGAAACAAAGTGATTCAGTGGTCTTTACTGGCTAAAAGTTCACTTTGTGCATTGGGACTTATTTTGAATGAAACTGATATTGCAGGTGGCTTGCTGGTTCTTTTCTCTTGCAGGGCCTTATGTGCAGATTCCCATGATTTTCAAAGAGCTTCAAATGGAAGGGTTTATTGTGAGCCGATGGAAGAACCAGTGGGAGGAAGGTCTGCAGGCTCTGCTAAAGTGGGTTGTGGAGGTAAGAAAGGAAGGGCAGCTGTTTTAAAATGTACTCACACTGCAGATTCCATCTTTGCAAGAGGTCTCTTGTCATAGAGACCTCTAGTTTAGGTGAGGTCCCAGCATGACACTTTCCTTCTCCCTGCCTTGATCCTTGACACTCTTGGGGACACTTAAACAATATGCCTGATCCCTTCTGTTTTCTATTTTGTGATATCATATTGTAGACTCAGATATAATCCAGAATACATGTAGGCTTTGAAGAATAATTCAAAACACGTATTTGGTAATGACGATTTTCGTATTTGGAGTAGTTCTTGTTTTTCTCATTCAGTAATTTGTGGTATGGGTCAGGATTTACATTGTAGTATTGTGCTGAAATTACTGGCAAGAATGAATGTTTTTATAGTATTGGGAGCTAGGATTTAAAGGGACTTAATAGGGAATTTTTATATTTTATTTTTCTAGATGGAGGTTGAGTTAGTAACCAGATTGGTTCATGGCTGTGAGAAGTTTGTGAGTGTGAACACTAAAGGCTAAGAGACTCTAGCTTTTACAAACATGAGGATTTGGGATGGGTGAAGTTTTGATCATTGGATTTGCAATTCCATACTTCTTTATGGGTAGAGATAGGCCTGGCTTTGGGGAGATGATCCCCTACCTGTCAATTGTCTTGGGACCAAGTAGCAATAAACATGTCCTGGTTTATTTTTACAGCAGTGACTTTTGCTTACTGTTATGACTCCAAGTAAACAGTTTTACAACAAAAGCAGATCCTCACAAAGAGCACACCTGGTTTTTCAGTTATCTTGGTGTATGCCAGTTTACATATTTCAAATGAAATATATATGCTGGAGAAAATTTTGCTGCAATTTATTCAGTTTTGGTGAATGAAAATTCAGCAATTTCCTTTCCAATTTTTGACAGGGAAAAATGAAGTACCATGAGCAAGTCACTGAAGGATTTGAGAACATGCCAATGGCTTTTATAGGAATGTTAAAGGGAGAAAATCTTGGAAAAGCTGTTGTAAAAATGTGAAGATCAGCTATTTCTGTGAGACTGGTGAAGCAGAATGTGATTCTGTTAAATGCTTTTAATTCACTTGTCAAATCATACGATCATCATGTTTCTGTCATTTTGCCGGATGTTTGGTGATTGTAACCTCTAATAATAATTATGGCTACTAAGTAATAGTTTGGCTAATAAGTCTAAGTATATTCCAATTGCTTTGCTCTTGAAGAAATTGAGAATTGCTTCCTGGAGCTACACAAAACAAAGTGCCTTTAAATTGTTGAAAATCAGAACTGTAACAGATTTGATAATAGTTCGAACCTTTCTATGAGCAGGCTTGTAGAAAGGAAAATCAATTTGAAAAGCTTTGCTAACTGATGGCACATTTAATTTGTACCTATTGATTTGGCCCAGAACTTTGCAAGGGGGATTTTTTTTAACCCATATCAAGGAGTGGAGAACAAGCTAAGCTGACAGCACTTGGGGATTCCAGTTTCCTCTCTAGTTGGCTTTTTTTCTTTTATTATACAGTGTTGCTATCTCAGTTATTCTGAGAATATGGAAAGGAAAAATAAACCTCTTAATGTGTATACTTTGCTTGTTTTATAGTTCTGTTTGTGGAACCCTCTTTCACTTCCTTGTGGTTAACAGAAAGGAGCTATGGTTTTACAAGGACTTGTTTATCCCAGCAGATCTCAATACAGGTGATATGGATAGTTACCAGCTTCCTTGAGAAAGCTGTCATTGGTGTCCAACCTTGGAGCTGACCTTGCCGTAGTGTTCACCCTGGCACTCCTGGAAGGTGAGATGAACATGTTAGCCCTACTGTTCAGTTAGTGTCCTTCACACACGAAGTGCCAAGCAAAGGAGACACACATTAGTAACACTGAGTGTCTCAGATGTTCTGAAAAAGAACAAGGGCCTCTTACTGTGGGATACAGACGGGCCTTGAGGGTCACTTTTTCAGTCACTGTGGAGGACTTCTTGGTGAGTTTCAAGGTTTCATTACTGATCCTTGAAGAGAGATTCCAAGCAGCCTTAATATCTTCACAGTGCCAGGTTTAGATACTCACAAAAATGGATCACTTATTTAAGATGTAGATTGACAATACTTGCTGAGTGGACTTAACAAAACACACCCTGAAATGCAGGTCAACTGGCCACTGGAAATAATGAATTTTGGCACAAGTAGGGAAGAGATTCTGGTAGTTTTAAAGTGTTTTCTGAGGAGAACAAATTTACAGTTTGAGTTAGCTCCAGTGCTGTGGTTTTTTTACATTGGCCACTGAGGAAGATCTGTAGACTAATGCCACTGCATATCATGTAAAGCAGTAAACAAAAAAGGGAACTTCTTGTCAGTAGGCTTCAGATGAAGTGAGTAGAAGTGTGCTATTGCGTGGTGACTTTTTGTTAAGGAATTTCTAGAGGGCTTCTGAGTCCTAAAATACTGAATTGAGTCCAGTAAATTAATGATCTCTTGTTTCAAGTAAAGTGATGATTGGGAAATTAATTAAGAATAGCCACAAATAAGAGAGCAACAGGAAGAGTTTATTTAATCTTAAATGTAAACAGCTGCAGGCTTCATCATTTGTTGGCTAAATAACTCTTCATTTATAGATATCATTATTTCTACAGTAGTGGTTTAACTGCTTAACACCTTATGCTTGCCTGTACAAAATTAAACAGTCTCTAGACTAGTTCCAGGCTAATAAATATGCAACTTTTGTGTCCTGTTCCTAAGCAATGTCAAGCTGGGGCTGGTGGCAATAATTAAGGACATAGTGGGTACCCTCCTTGAGGAGTTCACCATGGCCTGCCACACCAAAGGTGTCCTCAGGAAGCACTGGGAATTGTTGCAATTGGCTGTGGGTTGCTGAAAGCAGGGAGCTATCCCTGGAATGCATTGATGAGCTTCTCTCATGGTCCCCTCAGGGTCAATACCCACAGGAGAGGTCATGAGACACCATGGCCCAGCCCCAGCAGCCATTCCTATGTGAGGTGAGATTTATTCCCTAGCTCGATCAAATCCAACTCTAAACCTGCACCACCTCTGCCTGTACTGATGCAAGCAAGCCATACCTCGGATCCTTTACTTTTATCTTGCTCCCATGACACCTTACTTTAATTGTTCATCTCACACCATCACCTCCAGACAGGATAGCTTGCTGCTGGCCATTACCTACAGTGTAGGGAGATGCCTCCTGTCCCTGTACTCAGCCCATCATCACTAGCTCAGTGTGGGGCTCAGCCTCCAAGGAAGCTGAAAGCCTTTGGAGCAATCCTGCTAAGTGGTGCTAAAATTGCCCATTGTGTTTTCCTTATCAGCAGGCTTCACAGATATTCATGATGTGTGTCCTTGCTCTCCCCCAGGTGCCTCTCAGAGAAATTAGAAACAAAGAAAGTTGAAATACCAGACCCTCGTTGTCTCCCTGAGCAAATGTAGCGGCCTTACTCAGGTAGAGGGGAGATGACCCAAGCCTGGTCTAAAACTTTCTTCTTCTATGCCCTTGGACCTAATGCCTGGCTTCACCACCCCCTAGAGTCTGTTTATACCTCTGTCACATCCATGACAAACGCCTCAGTTCTTGTCAGCCAGGCAGATGGTGCCACCAGGACAGTATTCCCCCATGCATTCCCCTCTAGCCCATTACCTTAATACCCTTACAACCATGACCTCAGCACTGTCAGAGAGGTACAAGCAGAAGGTATTCCCAGATGCTGCCTGTGTATACACAAGTGTATAAAACCCAAACAGCCACCTGGTGGTGATTTGCATGTCACAAGCTTGTGTTTGTCAGCTGCAGGTAAAAATAGAGCTTCATGCAGCTCCCATGCCTCCCCTCACCTTGTCTCTCTACCAACCTGGACTATAGGAAGAAAAACTGCATTTCAGGTGGATATCCTTTTCCAGCATCTCCTCAGGTTTTTTCAAGTTTATTAAACTCACCTAGTTCATCCTTGTCAAGGTTTTGTTACTGGGGAAGCTGCAGGGGTGGCTTCTGGTGAGGACCAGAAGCTGCCACCACATCAGATGTGATGTTGGTCATTAGATTGTCATGAATAAAATCTCTCAAGAAATCTACCCCGGTTAAAATAGTGTGTTTAGTTGTGTACAGTTAATGTTCTTATCCCATTTGTAAACCTTGCTTGTTGTACCCCTAGTTTACTCTGATGGTTATTGGTTATGTTAATTACTTACCAGTTTCTCAAGTATTTTAAAGGTTCTTATGAGACATTGTTCTATCCCTTTCCCCTTACTTCCTTGCTACTATGTAACAAAGCTGCTCCCATGGGGGTTAAATCAAACTAACAAAAGCAACCCATTAAAAAGGTATGTCACAGAAGGAGCAACTCCCATGGAGGCTGTGCCACACTAGAACAAAGAAACTCCCAGGAAGCTGTGCAACCGAGTAATATGCAAACTAAGGCATGCAAGATACCAAAACAACGAGCTAACAGAGGAATAAAAGGACAAGGAAACATATTCTAGCAAGCTGTGATGAAAGATCATCTCCCTGCATCACCTAAGCCTGCTTAGAAACCATCTTCCTGCATCACCATGACCTAAAGAGGACTGGAAAGGACTGACCACCCTAGACAACGAGTCAGAACAACAGGTGTCCTGGCTACTCTCATGAGGATGGAAGTCCCAGTCCTGCAGTGTGTGCTGCAGAGCTGAATTGTGCCTCCTCCTTGGAGCTGCCAGTGTGGGTTGGCTGTGGTGCAAGCAACTCCTCGGGCTTTCCACCCCAAGAGCTGAATCCTAACAAAGGCATCAAACAGGAGTCTTGTCTCCTACGCAATTTCTTTCAAGATCAGATGGTGAGTGACAGCCATCTCCAAAAGAGACTTAACCTATGGCCAAAGCCAAGCCCTCTGTGATATCTGAGTTTAAATAAAAGCTCTAAACTATAGCAGCAGGGAGAAAGGAACAAGAGCACATGAGAAAAAGCATCTTGTAAGACACAGTTGCCAGGTCAGACTCCCACCCTTCACCAAGGGCCAGCACAACAGAGTTAATCCAGTAAAGATTTCAACAGTATGCTCCTCAATCAAATTCCTTCAGTAGCTGAAAGCTGCATGTCAATAGAGCATAACACAGAGAAGCTGCTATGCCAGTTTGTTGGCATTGGTAAAAAAACAAGTAATTTTTTAGCTTGGTAGATCCAACTAGTTTTGATGTATGAACAGTTAAGAAATTAAACATTAAAATTATTACCAATATACTCTTATTGGAATTATTCCAGGGGAATCAAAGTCTGATTTCATTCAGTTCAAGGAAAGAATGGAAAGCAGATGGCTAGCTGGAGTTGAAGTTAGGTTAACTGCTGTAAGAGATGGAAGACACACGTGGGTGGTTCGGTGCCTCATGTGCAGGATATACACATTCCCAAGTGCACAACAGCTCTTTCAGAACCCCTGGATGGAGGTAAGGAGTGTCACTATTCTACTGCAGCTTGGTCAAGAACAGTTCACTTGTCCACTCACTTGGACCCCTTGGCCCTTCCTTTCATGTTAGTTAGTCCTCTCTCATTAAGCCTAATTATTTCAGCTATGTGTTTTAGTACCTGTATTCAAGGAAGTACTTCTCTTCCTGTTGGCCGGCCCATTATAAGCAAGCTATGTAACAGGCCTGCAGACATCTTGTTTTTCTTGTTTGACAGCAAGGCACAGATCCCAGCTATTTCATAGGCAAATGACACAGACTACAGTCATTGCCTGAGGGGAGAACTTCTTCCTGAAATCCTTTTTCCCAGAAAAAAACCTTTCTATGTTGTCTTTTTCTCTGCCATGTACATCAGGTTTACATTCAGGTCAGCTGGCCATCTACCCACTTCCTGGTTACACACATCTTTGCAGATCACTGGATCAAAGCAACCAATTCTGTTCATGCAAGTAGCAGACCACAGAGTTTAATGAAAGAGTGAATGCTGTGCTACTGCCTGGCACATAGGAATACTGGCCTCACACCTTCTCACAAAAAACAAGCAAAAAAATGCAGCCACTGAGCTATCTATGAAGTATCATTACTTAATACTTGTATGGGAGGGCATGTGGCCCTGGGCAAGGATACTCATACCTATTCCATTTAGAACAAAATGTGTATTTGCTATACCTAGGCTTC